GTTTGACTGCTCTATAACAACTTTACGCAATAGTTTCAATCAAGGTTTTGTGTCATTCTGCATCACCGAGCCTTTACTTCTTCTAGCTTTTTTTTTTCTTTTTAAAAAATGGCTTCCTGACTGATACTCATAGTTGACACCATTTTTATGAGGCTTCAGTGAACAGTGGCTGGATCAGCCAAAGGTCCAGATGCACTTCTCGGGTCCTGCGTGAGGGTTTTAGCTGGGTTTCGTCCTCTACTTTTAAAAGGCAATCACATTCAGATACTGTTCTGATTCAGATCTGCAGCAGATGGCTTTTCGTTTTGGCCTGATGCTTCCTCTGTCCTCCGATTGTTCAGATTCGGAAACTCTTTTCAAGGGCCCACCGCACGCCATAATGAGATGTGCCAAGTTTTCTGCTTATATCTCTTTAGGAATCATCTTGTTGGTAAAATAATAAATACATATAAAAAAAATTTAAATGCCGTTTTATATCTGTCAAACTGTGCCCATACGTCTGTAGTTCTTTTTAAAAATGCAACAAAATAATTGGAATAAATTATGTGTCTCTAGGGCCAGCTGGCAAGTAATCCAATATACATATTTTTTAAACTAGTTCTTTGCCAAGTTGCCTGTCAAGGCTGATTCTCCATTGCATAAGATTGGTACGAGGATGAGACTAGACATGAGAAAGGAATCAGTTCATATCCAAAGAAAAACTTTGAATGGCACTTGGGAAAGCTTCCAAGAAATTCTGCCTGCTTCAGGGGGGAGGAGCTTGGGAGGAGCCCAAAAGAACTCATTTCAGGTTAGAGTGGCGTGCAGGAGTTCAAGGTGAGCTCCTGAAGAAGCCTTAACCAGGTGAGCGAGGCCTTGAATCCAAATCTGTGGCGGTCTATTGAAGAACCCCCCCCCCCCATCTGTCCTGCCATTCCCCACGCAGAGAGAATAATGGATTGGAGCCGCAGCAGGACACGCAGCTGTGTCGCGGCATGTTTGTAATGCTTGGCGCCTCTCGGTGAAACCTTGGGATGACGATTAGCGCGGAAGCGGATCGCAGCTTGTCTGCCCCGTGGGAGGCATTTGATGGGGGGAAATGATTCATTGTGTGTGTTGGGCTACGGGATCCCACGCTGAGGGGGGAAGAGGGCGTCCGTCATTTCAAGCCACAAGAAAGCGACTGGATCTGTGCGAGCGTGGTGCGGGATGGCGGCACATAAAGCGTCTTTTATTTAACGTCTTTCCTAATTACCATTTAGGAATTATTCTGCGGCCTCAATGGGAGTCTGGACGCCACCTGTCCTTGTTATGGTGCACGACTGGCTCCCCACTGTTCCACAGATGGATCTCCAGCAGGCCTACCTGGAAATGGGACCGGCCCCCGAGGCTATCTGTCCACATCGTGACTATCGGGAGTGAGAGTAAGAGCAATTTGGCTACGCAGCACATTTGTTCTCCCCTCCCAGCTCCACCGTCCACCGGTGTGCTTTTCAAAAAGAAAATTTGCCAAATCAATACTTCCCATACTTTGCGAGAACGGAGGGGAAAGGCCCGTCCGGTCCCGTTTCAGCTCGGACCGCAGGGCCTGTGCACGCGTGCTGGGTGTTTTACCGCCGCCTCGCTCACAGCTGAACCAATATGGGGAAACAAAGCGGGGAAGATTTGTTCAGTTCAGGCCGGCGATCTGCATTAATGGCTGCCAGTATTGATTAATCCATGTATCATCATCGTTTATGAAAACTGGCCTTCGCTCGCCTACAATCTGCAATGAAACTCCAACCCCCCCCCCTCCTGGAAATTCCCCGGGGAGAGAAAGTGCAGCAATGATACCGAGACGGTTACACGCAAAAGCGACACACAATACATTTTGGAAAACGCACGCTCTTGTGTGGGTTTTGATCGTTTGCATCGCAGTGAAATCGATCGTTTCATCATATCTTTTCCTCTCATCTTTGAACGCTACCTCTTCTGTGCTGTACTTTATTCTAATGAGCGTGTTTCTTTCCCGTCTTGATTCTTGGCCTATCCAATCCGCATTTTTGGGCCGCTGGTACGCAATCCTCAATTCCTTTAAATCATCCAGTAGCAGCCAGTTCATTTTTCTGTCTTCATTTTTTTTTTAAGAGCACGGTAGATCTGATGTCAGCAGTTGGCTATGAAACAGATGTGTTGGCACATCGGGACATGATGAAACAAATATAACCCATAATGAATCATCAACTGAATGCATGGTTCCCATGGTAACGTGACACACAGCCAACATGTTGTTTGACTATAACTGCAAGACTTCTCTGGTAGTTGCAAAACACATAAGTCGGGTAAAAGGGGCTGATATTTAGTCAAATTTTGAATGGATGGAAAGCCTGATGTTTTACGAAAATAGATACTTACAATAAAAAGTTGTTGGGCCAGAACTCTGAAGTTAAAATTCCAAAATTTGATTAACATCTAAAATCTATTTGGCTGAAATGGCTGAAATGATTGGTTACGGTATCTAAATTTCCTTTGAAACTCTGAACATAAACTGCTCTGGAACGGGATAGAGTTTAAGAAAAAGTGTTGTGATGGAGATTAATCCAGTTTAAGCGGGAACCACCTCGGCAACAGTGAAAACTTTTAACCGTTTTCAAGTTCATTTAGGCTCCTTAAACCTCTTGTATCTGCCCTTCCGGAGCTCGACTGATACCTCCGTCAGCTAGGCTCAGCCTGTTTACACATAACTCACAGTCTAAGTTCATTTAACCCCAACTTGACACCAGGATCACACCTGTGTGCGAGAGCAGACAAAATCTAAATCCACAATATGCCGAAATGTGGGAGAGCTTTAATTGAGGGGTTGTTATTAACAGTTATTACCCTCTTTGTTCCTACAAGTCTCCCCGTCAACCCTGTGAGCCAGCACGCATGATCCACGGACCCCGAACATGTCAAAAGGAGTGCACCCCTGCCGTCATTAATCACAACTCCTCTTCTTCCCGCTGTAACATGTCAAAATGCCCACTGCTTGGCTTCTCATCGGTGCCAGACGCTTACTAAAGAAACTACATGTGGCGTGAATCCCCGGGAGGAAGCAGGCAGCACCCTCAGATTGCCTCCACAGCTCCGATGCTTCTTGAAAAAAAATCCGTACTGTGGAGGCACAAGAGAGATAATCCTGCGATGTCCCAGATCCTTACTGGGACTGAGCCCCTGGGGGTGGTGGTGGGGGGGGTCGGCAATGAGATTTCGGATGAGGAACGGGGGCCACGTTTCAGTCGGAGAGTAGTGTGGGTTTTTTCTCTCTTTTTTTATGACTAAAGGAGGATTTGCAGCAGTGTTCCCACAAATTGAGTGGATATTGGCAGAAAGATGTTTCCTGGTCTGTGCTTTCATCTACAGTAGACGACGTCAGAAGTTCCATGTTAGCTTGGGTCCAAATAAAGATACAGCAATTCCCTAAAAAACCTGCCGAAGTAATAACACACACAGCAAAACAAACAAAAAAGAGATCACATTTCCCCAGCAATAACTCTTTATAAGATTTATCTAAGATGTGAAACCCCAATAGAAAATCTATTCCATCCCGACCTTAAAATATCTTATTGAACCCACGATAAGTCTCCTCTCTCTGATCTCAGGCTTAATTGTGCTTCCCAGAATTTCCATGTCTACAAAAACAGACGGAGTATTTAGATTTCAGACGCCTCTTATGTGGGGCCAACACTCTAGGAATAACTTTGGGGCCTATTTCTGCTGAAAAAGTCAAAGGAAATAAAGCAATAAATAGTCTGAAATAAGAAGCGCCACTGGGACCCAGCACAGTTCTTTCGTTTTTGTAACTTCTCAATCATGCAGTGGACCACAGCCGCTTATAACTGAAGCCATAGCCACATTAAAATGGACCTCCACAGTGTTGTACCTGCTGATTACACAAAGATGCCACCCAGAATTTCCAATCATGTCAGACAAAACATAACAAATCAATCAATCAATAAGCACAAAACATTATAGCTGAGGACAAATGCATCCCTTCAGAATCACAAGTTGGGATAGCTTGACCTGAATTTGCTCACTTGAGAAGAAATTCTCTGGATATTTCTTACGTTTTTGTTTGTTTAATGTGGGGTTGTTTTTGGTTTGGTAAAGTTGAAGAGGTTCGGTAAATATCCCATGTGCACTCTTGTTTCTAAACCACACAGCGAGGCTGTGCCTGACACAAAAGGCACATCCATCCACGGGATGCCCGGGTCTCCACTGACCCCACAGGCAGCCCGTGGTGTTTACGCCCGGAGCGGTGCAGGGGACGGGGTCGGGCTGAAGAGCCTTCAACTTACCGAGCTTTCCTCGGGACTCCTCCAGCTTTTGGATCTGGTTCTCCAGGAAGAACATGGCCACTGCAAACACCAGCAGCGCCAGAAGCTGCAACTTGGGCGGCATCATGACTCTTAGCAGCCCCATCAAATCATCCAGAGGGGGAATTGGTCAGTCCATGCTCGAAGGAGGATACACTGAAACACCCACCCGCCCACCCCCACGCACATACACACACGGCAACGACACTGATTACAAAGCGATTGAGTGTGTGTGCATGGCCCTCTCTCCTTCTTGTCTGAGTGAAGATATCGTACAAGGCTCAAATGCCCCCGTTACCTAGCTTGCGATATGTTCATATTCGGCTGGTGATTTATTTCCGGTATTTAAAGTCCCTGAGGTTTCTCCAGTGTGCGGATATGTCCCTCCGGACTGAGAGAGCGTTGGTACCAGACGCTGTCGCCAGAGTCTCTACTGTTACGTTGCCCTGTCCCATCGAGTGTGTTCAACGCCGCACCACCGACAGACTTTCACCAACACTTAGACCATTGGACGTATCATCAGTCTACCACGCAAGAGAGCCTTTCTATTCGTCCGCTATCACTGTCTCTTCCATCCGGATTGGACGGTTTTCAAATTGTTACCTATTTCGGCCAGCAGGTGTCGCAAGTCGCGTTCAACATGTTCACATAAGTGGAGACGAGGAAGAGTCGTTTCAGGGGGTCTTGTACATGCCAGGGTGTAAAAATGCCAAACAAATACGAAAACGGGAAATGTCTTTAGCAGTTACCAATGTTTTAAAAATCCCAGGAATTTCTGGGTTATTAATTGTTTTTCAGTGAACTGAAAACGTACTAGCGAAATAAATAGTCATTTATACATATTAACGTTCAGGCGACAAGGGAGGGGGTTTCATTCGGGGAATTAAAAAGGTCCTCGCAGTTGCTTTGCTAACAAAGCAGGTAACAAAATGTCGGGAGAGGTATATCTCTTCTGGCTTCTGTCGCTGCTGCAGACGGTGAGTTTATCAACACAGAGAAATGCTAATGCTTTGTGCTGTCTAATAATTATGATAATGAGTTTAAAGGATTGACGAGGCTGCTGGTGGGGCAGGCTTTATATTTGATTTCGTAAGCCGCATCCTGTTCCTCCAGGAGCTTAAATGACGTGGCTCATCCGTAAAACTGAAACGACTCCTAATGAAAAAGAGAACTTCTCTGTCATTGCCTCTGAGCTCGGTGAATTTAAGAAACGATAACGGGCTGGGAAAAAAGCGTTTGCCGTTTATATGTTAACATGTCGATGTACTGTTTCCATAGACGGAAGTGGCATGGATACATTTTGATATCCGGTGTCATAAATTTAATGTAACATTAAAAATCTTCTCGTTCGCAGTTCCGGGTTAAACCGCTATAAGATAGTTGAAAGGCTACTGTGTTCAAATATATTTGAACTTCACTACCTACAGTTTAAGGCGCAGCTGGAAAGAACATTAAGCTTCCTTGGGAAATTAAATCGAAGGTAAATGGACTGTCTCGAATAGCCGAGGTTTGGAAGATAAACCAAAATGACGCTCCCCTTCAGCTAAATCGTTTTGGACAAGATAAACACACCTAGTTAATACAGTTGTAATTAAACGTTGTATGCCTTGTTTCGCTCATATAATCATTAAAATAAATTGTTGCAAAGGTGTTTTCAGCCTATTGAATATGTCTTTAATAGATAAGCCAATACTTTTTGTAAAAACAATTCTCACTATTGCCAGTTGATCAGTTCAGATGATCAGCGTATTAGGAAATTGATGCAAAAATATCTTGATGTCCTTCGTATTTTTATGTCCATGACTTTTAACTACAAGAAGAATAAACAAGTCTTGTTTGAAAGGTCTTAGGGTGAAAACCTTTTGCTGTCAGTGGCCAGCATTGAGTTACACCTTGAGTTTTCAAAGTGGGATCTGAACAAACAAGAAAACTTCTATAACTGTCTTTTTTACAAGACGGATTTGGAGATGTGTCATCATAAAGAATTCCAGAACAAATGCCTTACATCAACTAACAAAGATGGCAGTGGAAGGTTGGGGATTTGGCCTTGTTTTGAAGCCACAAGACCATGCACCTCACAGTCTTGTAAACACAGTACTGTGTTTTATGCAAAGTTATTTGTTCTAAAGGTGATCTTTTTATGTATGTAGGTCTGTATTATTTGGATAAAGTAGTCCACCGTTTTCATCTGATCTGTCTTCACCGTCCCAGTAAATTTTGCCTCCTTCCCTGTCTTTTTGCCTGTCCAGCTGTCGGCGTATGGGTCTGACCTGACATCTGAGGCATGCAGGGAGCTGGGCTTCTCCAGCAACCTGCTGTGTAGCTCCTGTGACCTGCTCGGGGAGTTCAGCCTCATCAAGCTCCAGCCCAACTGTCGGCAGTGCTGCCAGCAGGAGGCCCAGATGGAAACGCGCAAGGTAAGAAGGGATTGTGGGGAAAGCTCAGGGAGACCGGAGAACAGCACTTAACTGCCTATAAAGTTTCAATTGCAGCACCAACACTTTTAAGTGCGAGAAAAATTGTGCTGCAAACGAGGTTAATCAAAGTGTTTGGGTTGCCTTTCAACACTCTACAAAACTGCTAACAGCTACAGGATTTTGGACCAAATTGCAGGCCGTTTCCTGTCGTGTAAAGAGGACCAGCCCCTTAACAGATGGCCATAGCACTTGGAGGACCTCTCTGTTGGACTCTGTCACATTTATTGACAAGGTCACATTCCTCAGCGTTTGCACTGCTGCTAAAAACAGCTTGCTCTCAGCCCTGCTGTCACTGGGTCCGTTGACTCTGCGTGCAGCTGCGCGTCAGACTGTTCCTCTCCCTCCCTCTTTGTCTTCTGCTCTAACGCTCAGTTTAGACTCCATAACCTAAAACGTAACCCCCCCCCCTCCAAGGGGTTGAAATGCCACATTGTTCAGTAGCAATCCTTTTTTTTTTTATGTGGCGAGGAGCGGCGTCGCTGCTGTGATTACAGCCAAATCAAAAGCGGCCCCTGCTGTGTTCTGATGTATAAACAGAGTCAAGTGATGGCTGAACAACAATGCCATTTTGCTTTGATTAATTAACCCCCTCTCCTCCAAGGCTCTGTGTGTCGTATCCTAGCAACTGCGTTTTCAGAGTGTAATGCACAGCTCATTGCACCTCTCGATGATATCTCTGTTTTTGACAGGCACTTGGAGACGAGATTACATTTTATTCAATTCAACTAAAAATATCCGGTAGAGCAGCAGTTAACTCCCGCTGCACTGAAAGGGCACCAGTAGAAATGACAGTGTCACTAAGCACATTTTCTCCTCAGACAGCCCCAATTATCTCCCTTAAGAATCCCATTCAGCCTCTGCTTCGCCATAAGAGCTGCATCATTAAGCCCTCGGAGAAAGGGCTCATTGATTAGGAAGACTCACCGAGCGCGGAGGGCATTTAGGTTCCCGGTTTTCAAAGGTGCTCTTTTCTGCGGAGCACCTGCACGTGGCAGCTCCCCGGCTCCCCTGAGTGTGGTGATGCATTGTGTCTGTGCAGACCGGTTGAACCTTTGTCGGTCTCTTATGTCTGCTTGGTGCGAAATGGATGACAATAACTTATGAAACCAATTTTTAAGGAATTGGATCAGCTTGTGCTTAAGTCAGTCTAGCTTTTTGGTTTTCTTTCGTTTTTTTGGGGGTTTTCAGGCTTATAACTGCGGGACAGATTACATTTTTTAACCAGGATTTTTTTTTCTTAAGGCTTTTGTCTTCTAAAGAAGTACATTTTAAAAGGCGATTTCAGTTCACCTCTCGTTTTACTTTATTTGAAGGCTCTGATTACACATAGCCATAAATTAGTTAAATTGGCTTTTTAAAAAACATTTTTAAAAGTTTTTTTGGTTCCGTCAACTAAATGGCAGGTATGTTTTCTATATCCTTTTTTCGGGGGGTTCATAACATTCAAAATTACTTGTCCTGTAAGTCATTCCAACGGTCAAAATCCTGTTAACTCAAGCAGTCGTATAAGATGGGTAGAAATGCCCTGAGATGACCAATTTCAGAAGGAAACTTTGTGCCAGATATTGCATTAAAGAGAGCAAACTGTAATCTTTATCTCTTATGGTATATGAAAATAAATAAAAATTGGTGTAAATAGAAATGCATCGTAATTATGAAGGATTATTTTGTGAACAGTTTTTTATGCATTTTTTTATGCATATAAAATTTATATTATTTGCTAGGGACAATATTAGATTAAAACCACTTAATGGGACTTGTGGTGACACATGTTCATAAGTATTATCCATGATTGAGAGAACTGTTTTTATAGCCGGCTTGTCCTTGTTAAAAAGCGAAAAAACATGACTAGTGGTAAATATTTACAATTCAGCTGGCACATCATTTTAAATTTCCAGCACTTTACTCTTCTAAATCCACTCTCTGAGAACTATAAACTGAAGAAGAGGTCCGGAAAATCCAAGAAAATACCGTCTTAAATACAATGTTTAAGGAATCTTTTCCTTTTCCTGGGGCATTATAGGGTCCTTTGGCATTTTGCATAAGAGAAGCTTAGGTTTCCAGCAGAAGTTGCCATGGCAATACGCCCCAGCAAGGAAGTGAACTCCAGGTGCAGCCTCACTAAGACAATAATCCAGCTTCACTATGCAGGCCCTGTCGTCACGTCTGGTTACCTATTCCTCATGTTTCTCTTTCTTTCTTTAAAAGAAAAAAAAAAAGATTAAATAAGGCTATATCTTTGTTTTGTTTGTCTCATTTAAAAAAAAATAAAATAAAATTTAATTTAGTTTTTTCCAAGAGGTCGGAAAACAGATTATTTAGTATGTTGTTTTTAACAATACTGCCCAATCTGGCCTGCTCAGCACTCTGATTCCTGCACGCAGCGCAGGGTCCGGAAACGCTGCCCTGACACTCCCACTTTCCCCTAACTTATCGTCCGTTGGTGCTGCAGCTTTGATTACAAGTGCGCCTTGCACAAATGGTCATCCATCAGCCTCTGCTCTATATGCACGGGCTCGCAGTTTAATGACCCCCGAGGAGTCGCCCGGACAGTTTTATGAATTGGCCTGCCTGCATCAAATTGCTCCTCCAGGCCAGACTTCCAACCACCAGCACCACCAGGGTTGATCCATTCTGCCTGAGATGTGTAGGGGGGGTAAACTCCCCCTGTGAATGACCTACGGCTATCTTTTTCTGCTCGCAGCTCTACGCAGGCGCCATCCTCGAGGTGTGCGGATGAAAATTGGGGAGGTTCCCCCAAGTCCAAGGTGAGTCCCGCATTTGTTCCCTCCAGTTTGGTGGCCAAACAAACCCGCCTGCAGCAAGGTTTTCGGACAGGCTCGCGGAGCCGGTCCAGCGTAGCAGGCACTTAATCTGGCGCGTCGTAAACGTCTGAAGGCCCGTCCGTGCCACGCGGCTGTCGTTTGTCTACTCGAGCTTCACCAGACGTGTGATTTCAACTGCCCCCCCCTCAGCTGTTAACGCTGCATTCTCTGGAAGCTTCACAGCCCGCTGTCGTAAAACAGAAAAGCTAACCCACTGATCCTTTTCAGCTTTCGTCAAGAGCGACAAGCCGAAGATGTTCAAGGGTCTTCAGATCAAGGTAGGGCCAGATAATTGTTTTTAAGTTAAATCTCAATATTATTAGATTTTTTTTTCTTTCTTTTTGAAACGTTTGCATTTTTAATTTTGTTCCCTGTTTTCCTTCTTTCCCCATTTGCCGCCTCCCGTCACCGTAGTACGTCAGAGGCTCAGATCCTGTGCTTAAGCTTTTGGACGATAACGGGAACATCGCTGAGGAGCTCAGCATCCTAAAATGGAACACGGACAGCGTTGAGGAGTTTTTGAGCGAGAAGTTAGATCGAATATAGATGTTAAGAGTTCACTTTTTTCCTCCATTTTTTTATGTTATGAATACAAAAGTTACCAGAAGCAGGAAAGCTTTTTCTTTTTTTTTATGCTTTTTTTTTTTTTTCAATCTGTGTCAATTGACCATGTAGTTCTTTATAGATTTTCACACAAACTGGCCTTGATAGATGTTGAAGGCACTGGTCCAAATGGCTGTTGTTTTTTTGTTTTGTTTTTTATTTTGTATGAATTTCATTAATTACTTTTCCAAGTGACTCATATCTGATGCTGGGAACTTTCAAAGAGCATAACTGTAATTTTCACAATTGAATTGTAGTTTAGTTTGAAAAAAAGATCCCTCTGTGTTTCTGATATTCTTGTATAATTATTTTTTATAATGCTCAACGTTGCGAATGATGGAGGTTGGAAAAGCAAATGAAGCCATGTTCCTCTTCAGGCGCAGATGTTTTTGCTGAGGCACACGTTAGTGAAGAACTCACACGAAACCAGTTCTGGGATGTGAGCTCTGATGTGAATTTGTGTATTTTCGGCATCTTCTGCCTTGAAGAGAAACTGTATTTTGCTTCGGAGGCTTGTTTACAAGCTGGGCAATGGTTATAAATATGCAGCAATAAAACCATTAAAAAAAATTCTCTGGTAGATTTTTCTGTCAACATCGTGTCCTTATTTTTTCTCAATAAAAACAAGCACAAAAAGCTCAAAACATGGTTTCTGACTGCTACTCTTGTTCAAATCAGACTGGCTGGACTTTGCTGACATCTACTGGTAACCAGTGACATTTCAGCCCAGCTTCTGGAAAAGGGGCCACTTTGCAGCTTCTGAAACACAAACAAGATGCAGATGCTTTAGAAGCAGGGCTGTAAATATGGTGACTATTTATTAAGATGTTGCCACAAATTGGACATGAAAACTCTCCAAATCTAGACATCTTATTGGTCCTGGTGGACAGGAAATAAAGTTGTAGTTTCAGTTACATTAAGTTTCTTGATTCCTGCTTAGGGCTGAACTAATTGGTAACTTCCAAACACAAAAAGAAGCTGATGGCTTAAAAATACTGGTCAAACATTCTACTTGGTTCAAGAAAATAAATGGTTTAATTTAGGTGGCTTCGTTTAAAGCATGAACCCAAAAGTAGACTGATCTGTGCAAATGGGTGAACAATTTTTTAAAAGTTTATTTAAAAGGGGAGTGGGGGTGGATAATCAGTTGTGCGTCCACAGCTGATCTGCTACTGGGCTTCTTTAATAGAGGAGAGATGACCAGTGAGGGCCAGCTGGAACAGATGCCTAAGTCTATGCTTTTGAAGTCTTATATTTATCCAGGTCTTGTAGAAGAGCGGTTGTCAGGGATCGCACTGACGTTTGTTTGAGGAGGTTGAAAGGTGAGCGCAACAGGTTGGTTGAGTCAGACTTCCCACCACTGGTCATAGATCCAAGTGGTAGTCGGAGAGAACGAGAACCACGATCGGGAGCTGTAACACAAAGCTGGGCAAGGGAAGTATCACAAAGGTGAGCCTAGATTACCAGAGATACAGTGAGACAATCCAGCAACATCTGCAGCTCCAGCCACTCCTTAGGAACCCAGCACATAACGAAGCCTGATGAGAAGTCGGTGGTCCGGCATGGGCATCTCAGCAGACATCCTGGAACCTGCTCAACCCCGCCCTAAACCCAAAAAACACAATTTACAATTCTGACAAACCTACAAATATCCAGTTAATGAAATATTCCACTGATTTTAAAGAGTGCTCACCTCCATTTTCCATCTTGATCTACCTCTTTGAAAGCCAGAGAATCCAGACAGCCACTGGTGATCAGAACTCCCACCCCAATTAAGGGTTGTGCCAGCTGGTGACAGATGAGAGGTGGGCCCAGTGTAAGCATGTTAGAAGCCAGCAAGATGAACAGGATGTTACCTGGGCATTCCTCCCACGCCCCCTCTGGTTCCTCCATCTGTGCCTCATCTGTCGCTCTGGTGAGCACAATGAAACTGTCCGCAATGTAATTGGCACCCAGAGGCTTCTTTCTCTCTCCGTCTATCTCTTTTTCTCACACACACACACACGACTGAAGAAAGCATTGGACAGACACAGTGATTCATTTACCACGTTCAGAGGCTTTACTGCTGGACTGTGTCAATAATAATCAAAGATTCAGGCTTGTAAAATAGCCTTGTGCTTATCCTAACAAATGACTTCACGCCCCATGGGGGATAAACATTTGATGCTGGGCTAAGTCATCATTGTGTGGGTTTAAACTGCATGGAAAACAGACATTTGTTAGATATTAAACTTATTATTAATTCACTGAGACTTGCTTTCATAAAGAAATCAAATAAAACACTGAATGATACCCGCTGTATTACAGGAAACAAAAATCACAAGAACTTTGAAAATCATTTAGGAATCAGCAGTTCTGTCTACAACAGGATTTCCAGATAAGATAAAATTTCAGCTGCACATCTTAAAAAAAAAAGATTTTTTTTACATTATATGACAATATTTAGGATGTAATTTTCTGTAAGCTCTTTGTCCCTTTTGTTTTCCAGTACAAAACATTAAACACATTTGATCATGAGTTCCGGGTTGTTTTCTGAAATGTAGTTTTGGATGCTTTCTCAGTTTTGAGTTTTCCCCTATGGTTTAGATTCTTGTGCAATCTGTTTTGTGCAGTTGCATTTGTAATTAGAATCATTTTCTTTCTTGTTGATATTTGTCTTGTTTCTATGTTCTTAGCTTGATTTCCTCTGTCTTGTCTTGTTTTGTTGTTGTTGTTTTTGGTTCCTTTTCATTACCTACAGTCTCCTCAGTGCAGTTATGAGCTCTACTTCCCTGATTTTTTCTAATGAACAAAATTTTGGTTCATCTTCACCTGCTGTTTCCTGTCCGCGCGTGGGTCCAACTCCATCCACAAACCTCTGTTCACCATGATAGCCCTATGACAGATTCATAGAGAATCTTCATTGTAGACAATTAAATTAAATCAAGCTGTCCTTCACATTTCACATGGCATTCTTAAATGGTGCTTTTTGGAACAAGACAGGTTAATCCGAAGCTCATCCTTCCATTGATAACTGTATAGTCCAACAGAAAATGGAGAGGCATGGATTTTTTAATTTATTACTCAGGAAAAAACAACATTCCACATATGTTTAATTGTTTGGCAGTAATAACTCTACTTGTACAGAATAAATTCAGTGTGTTGCTTGTCCCATCAGGATGCCGTATAGCAGGAGACATTCTGTGAATCCCAAAGATGTTGTTTCACAGTTCTGCTACAGATCCGGGTGTAAACAGATGTTATCAGGTACCCCCTATAGGTCCCTGACACTGTGATGAGGTGAGAGATACTATATGGTTTAGCAGAACTTGGGGCGCCAATGTGTTTGTTTTTTTCTCTTCAAAAGTTAGCAAGCTATAGGCCATGGCAAACCCCAGTAGAACCTAGAACTGATGAAGATTTAATTAACTTAAGCAAGATGATCACCATGATAGCCATCTGAGTTGCAGGGGAATTTGGTCCCATTCCTCTGCCTGAGAGGTGTAAATGTCCAAGGGGTAAAGATGTTATTCACCACTAGTTTAAAGACAGTATAAGAACTAATTAAAAGCTATTTAATCATCCCATCACAGGTTCGGCGATCCTTCTCAGAGACGTCGTGTTCACCATAAACTATGCACAGAAACAAAAGCTCAAAAGTTTCAATGTGAGTGATCATCTCACTTCCTAACTGTGAAACCAACAGTTCCTCATTTCCACAGTTCAGCTTTTTCTCTTTACCACTTTGTCAACAGCCAGGAATGAAATACGTTTCTATTATTTTCCTATGGACAGCCAAGCTTGATCACACGTGTTTGTTAGTTGCCATGTCGAAATGTAAGCTCTTTACTTTTTGCCCATGTAATTCTCCTTCTCAGGGGAGTCAGAACTAGCCGAAATCTGACAGGATACTATTTTAATTAAACTCTTTGTGATTGTGACTGGTCTGATCTAATATTCAAGTGTCCATCATATAAAGCTTTGTTGGTCATTCTGCCCTAAGGTGTTTACTGATGTGTACAAAAAGAGGAATGTGTCAGACAATCAAATGCTTCCTATTTCGCGGATGTACAAGTGACTGAGAAAGTATTGTAATAAAAAAAGGTGTTCCAATTAAAAACAACATTTTACCTCAAACTTAATGCAACGTTCAGAATACAAAATGTGTTGACACATTTTATGCATTATTTTATTAAGGAGACACCGTGACATGAAGCAAATGCCCCCGGAAACATTTGTGATCTCTCATCATAACTGGAAAAGAAAAGAAAGGAAAAAACCTACCTGTAGAGATGTCCTGGGGAATAATCCTTAGGTGTAGAAAAAAATGTATTAAAAACTTCCAGATGTTTAAAGTCGCTCAAAAACATTCTATTACCTCTTCAACAATGACAAACGAAGTATTTCTCAGCTTAGTGTTTTTAATATAATTTCAACAGGTACAGATGAATTCAATATGTAAGTAAAATCCTCGCAAAATTACACCCAGTGCATTTCAAGCACCCACACAAGAGAAAGGTTTTCCTTAGGGATTGTTAAAAGTTTTTTTGGGTATTAATGTCACATCACAAAGTTCGCTGTTTATGTACTCTTCTTCATTCTTTAGTTCCTGTGCGCAAACGTCTCCCCCTTTGACCACCGAGAGTTTTTGCATAGTTTTTGGCCGTCACAGAGACGCACCTGGCGGGGTGTAGGAGCCGCTCTTGCTCATCCCTCCGGGAAGCAGAATGTAAGCCACCTGGGGCTGCAAACTGGCCGCCGACCAGGCGCTGCAGCTGCACGAAGTCACGTATCCCGGGCCGGCAGGTGACGGGGAGATGTGCTGCCCGGGGCACGCCACGGCCCCGAACCCTGCGCCCTGGTACCCGAAGCCGTGCGCGCCGTGGTATGGCAGTGCGCCCGCGGCCACAGTCTGCGGCATCTCCGCCGCCATCCGCTGGACAGCTCCCGCGCTGAACTGGGTGACCGGGTCCAAGAGAGAGAATGACCAGGTGGGGGCAAGGAGAGCCCTGGCTTTATCCCCGGGGACGAGAAAAGAATCTATCGAAAAGCCCTTCAAGTGCTCTGATGCGTCACCGAACAGAGACGGCAGTGGGAAAAGGAAGCGATCCCTCTTAAAGGGGCTTTTGGGTTTGCGCCGGGGTCTGTACTTGTAGTCCGGGTGCTCCTTCATGTGCTGAGCCCGCAGTCTCTTGGCCTCGTCGATGTAGGGACGTTTCTCCGAGTCGGAGAGCATCTTCCACGCCGCGCCGAGTCGCTTACTGATTTCAGAGTTGTGCATCTTTGGATTTTCCCGGGCCATTTTTCTCCTCTGGCCTCTGGACCAAACCATGAAGGCGTTCATGGGTCTCTTTATGTGATCTAAAGGTTTTGCCATCTCAGGAACTTCCAAGCTGATTTAAACTGGGTTACCCGGGGTAACTTACCCCATCAAAAAGCGCATTCTCCCCTATGCGTAAAAGAATAACAGGCAAAGTCTATGGGATTTCTGTAGTTAATAATATACTTTCTGTGTCTTTTTTTAGGAGGAGTGACTGGGAGTCCAAACTGACTGCGGCATTTTCACAGTTTAACTGAAACCTACATAAATCTAAAGCCTCAATAAGTGAATAAATGGAAGTCACACGGGACCAAGTCAGAAGCTTGTTATGGATGATGCGGGGCATGTCATCCACTCATCGCCACACCACTGTCACGGAGGGCCAGGCCAATGGGAAAGAGAGGGAGCACTGTAATCCTTTTAAATACAGAAAGCGTGACTGTAAGCCTACCACGTTTCAAGGGGACACCCCTTTTCTCTTCTCCAAATTCCCACCGAGCCAAGCAAGGCACAGAGTATCGGGACAACACAGGCAGAAATCCTGGAAAAGTTGGGAAAAATTCCATAATCTATTTGTGCTGCATGTATTGGTGAGCATACTAATCTGATTTCCAAAATATTCAAGTGACCTCAAGAGATCTCAAAGGAATATGACAACCTTCCTCGTCTAACTAAAACTAAAAATAACCTATGTGATTTTACTATTCAATTCTTTATCCACAGATCCCCAAACCCACAGCACAACTGTGAGTGTTTAAAGTAAAGTATCTGGATAAAATTTCTATATTCCATGACAAATAAAAAAAAAACCTTTTCACGTACCTCTGCAGGTTTGTTTTATGGTGTGTCTCTCCATTATTCATGTTAAATCAGTGTTAAATATACACTGCTGATATTTTATTTCTCTTATTGATAGATTAGAAAGTACTCCAACGATTGACAGGAATTTTTCAAAAATGTCGGGGACTGAAAAATGAATGAATCCATCTGAACAAAGTTGTTTCGAATTGATGAGACCCAATTCCAAATCAGGAAAAGATTTAGTACTTGGGGACCATGTAGCATTATAAATGTAAGTATGACTTACTACAAAACTGTAAGTTTGTTTTGTATTGCTTGTTAGTGTTTTATTTCTATGCGCAGATGACAGGGACTTGAACACAACTTACAGAAAATGTATGAGCAATAAGAAAGAGCACTGTCATACTAAAGAACCTTAAATTAAACTTGAGGAAAAAAGCCTAAACCAAAAAAAAACATGAACACCACATGGGAACCAAAACAGTGGTTACAATAGTGAGGATCTGACAAGGACAAAACATGGAGCTTGGAGCACAGATGAGAGGAGTAGAACTTATTAAACGTCAGGATGGGAACGTAGGGGAAATGTGACATGATGAACAGGATCTAAATCCAAAACAGAAGACTTGAACAAAGGAAACAAACCTAGAACATAGCAACAAAAGAATGTCAAAAAAGCATGGAAGTCATAAGAAGCTCACAGTAATCCACAGATCACAGAAAGTACAAAAATTACAAACTCTGAAATGGAATAAAAAGTCACCAGGACAAAAATCTACAAATAAATCAGAAACTATGACACTAAATAACATGACCCAAACTGACCTAGCCATCCAGCCAATGATCCTGAGAAGAATTCTGATATAGAAAAGTCCAATCGGAACTCGCACACCTTCGACAAATACAATTCCTTAATCCCTGAATCCTCAGCACTGGAATTTCTTTGAGTTGTTGTGGGAGAAAGTACAGAAACATTTCACGGTGACCAAAAACGTCAAAGTCTACAAAATTGTTTGGAATGTATTGTAGCCTTCAAATGAAACAATTGTGCGTAAGTCAACAAGAACAAAATATCTTGTCATTGTGTTTGCTTTGAGATCAAATTCAAAGTAAGGATCAACCTTTAAAAAAAGAAAAAATGTAATAATTTTCCTGGTTATACAAATCATCCACTGCACTGTATCATTATGCACAGCTTCAACTGTAATTGCTGGATAATCGCTCGGAGTAAATACTACTCAGAATGCCCATTTTACAGGAAGAAATCTGATGCCATCATCCTGAGTGTCCAAGTGGAAGCTTCCGGACCACCTCAAAAGCATCTGAAATGGCGCCTGCACAAAAGGGATTATATCCCTTGAAAAAACACATTGTGTTTTTCTGTGGACAGGCCTGCTGGTGGCTGGTTGTGGTTCAGGGTTGAGGTTTTGGTTGCAGCGATAAACTTAGATATCAGGGTACCGGCAAGGAGGGGGCCTTTATTTCATTTACCTCCCACCATCAAAGGCGCCACAGGCCTCTTCAAAGGCAAATAAACGGACATAAAAGATCTAGTTGTGCACAAGACACCAGTGGGGGAGGCGATAAGATGTTTTCAGAAAGGTTTTCTTTTTCTTTTTCTTTTTCCCCAGGTTTCCTCGCAGCAGACGGGCCGGAGGGATAAAATGATTGGCAGCAGGGGTAAGACAGCTGATCTGTCTCCTCAGAGCTCTACCGTTATCAGCTTTATTGTAGGTTCAGGCAAGCCTCCACGCAGGAGGCACACACTGGCACACAGAGACAATTATGACTTCCTCAGAGGGACCATGTTTTAAAGAGTTTTTGACAGCAGAGAGAAAGCTGTTTGAGGACAGCCACGCGTGAGGTTGGTTAAGTACAGGAAAAATGATCCATTTTGTTTCAATCTCCTCAAAGCCCTCAGTTGTTTTAGCTGAGGAAATGGTGTCGCATTTTGTGTTCCTGTCAGTGTTTTGGAGCGGCTTCTAGCAAAGGGCAGCGTTTCAACTCCGGAAAGATGAGGGGGAAAATGTGTAATAAGAAAAACTGCCAGCAGCTCAAAATGACCGTCGTAATCCGGTTATCCCTCAGGCTCTAAAGATACTGGTCCTCTCCTTGGGAGTCTATCTTTTCTTCTTATGTCAAAACTGTCCTCTGTGCACTCAGGTGGATTAAGGAGTCACACTGTAGAAAGAAATTGACAGGTACAGGAGGACCTAAAGGGTGAAAAGTAAATGGAAGTCAGCAAAGAGAGGGAGGCCGGGCACTTGAGCCAGGGAGCACCCTGTTTGACAAGAAAGGAATCTATCAAGTCCATTGAACATTAATGGAAAAAGAAATGCCTTCTCCAGTCTGAGGTCTTTCTCAAGATTTGTTATGCCTTTTTACAAGTCAAACGGGGCTTTTTAATCTGTTAGGAGTTCTCCTCTTCTACTTTACCGCAAGCCCACAACCACTGGCCCTGCCACCTCCTCTAAACTAATGTGGCACTTTGGAAACAGTCACACAAAATATGAACACACAAGGCATTAATCGGTTTTCTCTTCACTGATGTCCCTGAATGTTTGAGTCAGATTGTGTTCAGTTATGGGAGATTGGTTCATCCAGATTTATAATGAATCTTTAACTACATTCTAGTCTATCATGTCAGATTGGGAATGGCGTGATGTGTTAGTCAACCAACTGGCAAAGATACTTCTTGTTGCCTCGTGAGGATAATTTACCTTGTAATTTTATATTTGTGTTGTAGAAATACTGGACACAATTTTGTCCATTGAACAGCCCCAATTTCAAATTAGTTGGGATATTGTGTAAAATGGAAATGCAAAAAGAATGAAATGAAAGTTTCATAAACCAATCGTTTGTTCACAATAGGAAGAAATTTGTGCAACCGAACACTGGTACAGAGTCATACCGTTGTATTAGATGCAGCATGAGGTTTAAAATCATCTTGTTGAATAATCCGAGGCCTTCCCTGAAAAAATCTACATGGGAGCTTATTGCTTTTCAGTATCGGGATGCCTTTCCAAATGCCCAAGTTGCCATTTCCAAGCCACAAATGGACCCTCGAATGACCAGAGTTGCAGCAACCAGAACCTTGTCACCATTTTTTTTTACCAGGTCCTGTGACTGAGATGTTGCCAAGTAGCCTTACTGGTTGGAAATAGCTACCTCAACATCTTCATTTTATTGCTGGCTAGTTTTCTATTTATGTCTACTTTGAGATTTGGTGCTGTCATAACATTCAAGATGATCTAATAGTCAAATAATTTGTATTCATATAACGTGATTTACAAAGAATACTGTGAATGTTTTTTTTTTTTGTAGATATCTTTGGGAACAGGAAACCATATCGGACAAACAAATATTTGAACGTAACATCAGTGTTTATGGGATTTGCCTTTTTTATGTTTCATAGACCAGACAATCAGATAAATCATTTTTAAATTTTCTCAACATGAAAGAGAAAAAAGTAGGCATAGTCCAAACAGTTGCAGCCATCTTTCCGTATGCATCTAACTTTGATAGATATTAGAATTAAAAATGAAAGATTAAAAAGGAGAAATAAGTAAACTAAATGAAATGAAAAGACTGTTGAATGATTGACAGCATCGTCACATGGCTCTGATACACAATGCAAAGATGCATCTTCAAATAAAATGATTTCTTAGTGGTTTCATCTTGTCAGTCTATTCAGTGCTCTGCAACACAACTAAAACACACACAAATGTAATAGTTAGAGATTTTGGAGCCACTGAAACTGTATTTTTGTCATCACAAACTGATGAATGGATTTCTATCTGATGTATAAAGCTCAGATGTGCTTACTGTTTAAATTTTTGTCACTTCAGCTCCAAGTAAACCCTCTGAAACACCGCCCCCCCCAAAAAGAAAAAATAAGATCAGCTCTGACAAAAGTTTCTGACACTTCTGAGAAGTCCATTAAGAAACATTTCAGGGGGAAAATCCTCAAGATTTCTGCTGCTCTGGGGAGGATTTCACTAAATCTTGTGCTTATTCTCATGATACTTAGGAAAAGTGAAGCGGTTTTAATAGCTTTACCCCTGACACATTGATGGTGGAATATGCTTTGGCTCTATGGCAGATAGCTTCAATCCGAGGTTGAGGGCATGTGGGTGGTTGGATGAGCCGGTCTGTTCCTCTCTGCCTGCCAGTACTCTTTCATAAGGCCCCATCTCAACAAAATTAATACTATTCCTTCAACATCTATCTAAGGATAAACCTGAGAGCCACATTAAAGTGGCAGTCACTATCACCCAGCTTGTAATACAACCGAGTCAGCAGCCAACAAGATACATTTGCAACCAGGCAGCGACTCTGTGCCACGGAGGCAGGAGATTTAGAACATCCTGCAGTAAATTAAGCGCTTCTTGAGAAAAAAAAGGTGCCGGCTAAGCAGGCAGCTGCTTAGTTTAAGTGACATGCTGGTGATGTGGTGATGAGGGTTGGTGTGATGGTGAGAGGAGAGCAATAAAGTGTTTTACCCATTCTGGTTCTTGCAAATCTTTCACATTCATATAATATCTCTGGGGCATGTGACATTTAATGGTCATCTCTAAATTTGAGGTTAATCTAGTTAATCTAGTCCATGCTGTTAGTTGTACATTCTAACAAATTGTTGAAGAAAACTTTCAATCTTCAGGTGGTTACATTACCTGGAACTGTACCAATATGTGTCTAATTTACATAGGAATGGGAGATTCCTAACTAACGGTGAGCATTATTCTTTTTACTTTTAGTTACCTTTTTAAGAAAAAATCAAACCGATATTTACAGGTTTTGGGTCCTTTGCCTTTTTACCCACAGTTCATACTGTGCTGCACAGCTCCATGAACTTTTCAAACATTTAACGGTGTGTCAAAGACAAAGACAAATTATATAATCCTGATAAAAGCACAAAATATGTCGTTTAACATTAATTTCCCCATGCATTTGTGCCCATTTGAAACTCATTACCAAAACTTAAAAAATATAAACACTTCATGTTCTGCAAGAGATGTGAAATCCTTGTCATGACTGTTCACACCAATGTCTTTATGCCTGCGTCCTCTTCACTCATCTGTGTAAAACACAGGAATTATCAGCATCTTTCCCTGCCACATTACCAGGGTGGATACAGAAAAGATGCACTTAAAAATAAATGGAAGCTCACACACCTCCCAGTATGAGGCCACTCTACAACGAAGAGTGTATGGCACCACTAAGAGGCTTATGGAAATAATGGAAATAGTGTAGCCCCTGTGGATATGATATGCTCACTGCCACAGAAAGGGAAAGAGGCTGGTATTTACTAAGATAGCTGCTGGATTCATTTTAAGCAGAGCAGTGGCTGTCCTTTGCAAGGCTGAAGGGAGGGGAGCAGAGATGCTGTCAAAACGGCAAGCTTAGATAAGCTCCAACAGGGTGAGGACAGAGAGGCATCAAGTGAGCATATTTTTTAAGTCATCTGATACTCTTCCTGGGCCTGTGAGTTAGATTTTTTGTGGAAAACAATCACAGGGAGGTAGATAATGGGTGATGTTCATGTGAAAAAAGAGAAAAATACGTTTTTGTTTCAACGTGTGGAGTCGATGATAAGATAAGAAACAAGTTCAAAACTCTAAAAAATAGAAGCACCCCTCTCCCCACTTTCTCCACTTGGTAAAATTCTACATGGGAGGCAAGACTCTCAAATCTAAGTAGAATCCAAATGACATTTTCTGAGTTTGTGGTGATTGTTTGCTGTTGCTGAAAAAAATCTAACTAAACAGACAAATGTTAATACTTTATTAAATATGACATTCTTAAATTTCAGAAGAGATTTGAGGGCCCGACAACTAATTTACTATTCAATCACGTGTGATGAATGCTTCACTTAAATCAGGCAGCCCTGCGATGGACTGCCGGACCAGAGTGTACCCCGTGTCTTGCCCATTGACTACTGGGGTAGGTTCCAGTCCCCCCTGCGACCCCATTAGGGAATAAGTGGTTACGATAATGGATAGATGGATGAAATCAGGCACATTTCCTATTTCATACAAGCAAATTCCGGAGAGAAACCTTCTCTCCCACTGATTCAGGTGGAGAACAAACAGCCAGTCTCTCTCCTCCTGTTTCTATCAAAGTCTATTAGAAGGGGAGCCTTTGAGCAAGTCACAGAATACCTATAACAAAACAACCTCTTTGATACAAACCAATCTGGGTTGAAAAGTGGCCACTCTGCTCAAACCGTTTTTGCTGACAACGACAAAAGCCTTAAAAGAGACCAGAGCAACAGTTAATTCCTCGGTACTTGTCCTTCTCGACTCATCAGCTGCATTTTACACAGTCAATCGTGACATCCTTCTGTCTACACTCTTGAGCGTGGGCATCAAAGGGAAACCTCCTGCTGTGAATCGTACCTTACTGTTTGATCATTCAAAGTATCTTGGCTTGGTCATGCCTCTGCAGTGCACCCCCTTGCCGCAGGGGTCCCCCAAGGTTAAGTACTAGGACCTCTACTCTTTGCAAGATACATCATCTCACTGGGCAAGATCATCCACTTAAATGGCTTGTCATACTACTTCTATACTGATAGTACCGAGCTCTATCTGTTGCTCCCACCCGATGAACACGTGTTCTCAGACTGTGTCTGTGATATCAAAAAGGATGAAAGCCCATATCCTCCAACTGAATTTCTGTGAAACTTAACTCCTTGTTTCCAGCCAAACCAACCCTTCACCACAGTATTCATATCCCAACTGAGTCACTACAGTTTCCTGCATCAAAGGCAGCTGGAAACCTGGGTGTCATGACGGATGACCAGCTGACCTTCAAAGCTCATGATGGCTCGGTTGCTCGATCGTGTCACTTCGCGTGAACAAACATACGAAAGATCCAGTCGCACCTAATCCTACATGCCACCCAGCTCCCGGTGCAGTTGATAGTTATCGCCCGTCTTGACTATTACAATACTCTCATAATTGATCTCCCAGCCTGAACTGTAAAACCTCTGCAGATGGTCCTTAATGCATCAACACGTCTGGTCAAACTCAAGTCACTGAAGTTAGCCTACAAATTACTTAAGAGTACGGCTCCCATACATTAACACTCTGGCAAAGGCTTATGTCACATCTCGGCCACTGCGGTCATCAAAGGATTGTTGTCTAGCAGTGCCTGCTAGACAATCCAGACTCTTGAAGACCCAGTTATTCAGACAGCATATCCTCCTGTACCTCTTACCCTGTACTTCACCACTCCCTCTACTACTCTAACTTTACTTCCCTCTGTCGCTACACTGTCACCACTGTTGCCTCCAACAGTGTGACTAGTGAATTTCTTCTATGTGGCTTATTGTTAGGTTGATGCTAACTGTAATGTTGTATTTGCATTGTGAGTCTGCAAACAGGAACCCTGAACCACAAACCAATTCGGAACTTAATAAATTAGAATTACAATATTTTTTCAAGAAGTATACATGAAAGGGAGAAAGGATATAGGTTAGCGATCAGCTAATGCTTTTGGATCATCATTAGTTTTTGTGTGTGTGTTTAGTGTGTGTCTCTCTTGTCTCTACATGGCCCTGTGATGGACTGGTGACCTGTCCAGGGTTTACCCCATTTCTCATCCAAAGACTACTGGAATAGGCTCCAGTCGCCCCACAACCCTACCCGGTATAAGCAGCTATGCATATTTAAGGGACGGTCGTATAGAGAATTCATTATGGATATATGATTGTGTTCCTTCCACTTATTCTTTTTCCTTTTTTTCTGTGTTTGTTTTTGTCTCCATCTGTTGTCTGTTGAGTATTAGTGAGTGTAAAAGGTTAGGGTGGGCTTCCTCTGCTAGTTTTTCTGGATATTGGTGATTTGCTTCCCAAATATATATAGGAAGTTGGCTCCACAAGAGTGGAGCATGATAACTGAAGGGCCTTGTATCCCGTTTTACTTTTAGGAGCTATCAGAACTGCATTCCTAGAGAACTGTGCTCCGTTGGAAAAACATTACACTTTGAAATCTTCAAAACATGCTACAGTTTAGACATTTAGAGCTTTAGTGCGAGGTGCAAATTTTTAAAATCTATTTAACATTTAACAGCGGGCCAACAAAGATGAGCTAAAACTAGAAATTTTTAGGCTGTACTGCTTGTTCTCATTTGAACTCTGGGTGTCAGGTTTTTCAGAGAGAATTTTGGGACAGCCCATGAGTAAAGGAGTACAATGGTTCGATCACGAAATAGAGACATTTTTCTGCATCGCTCCAAGACAGGAGGCACTGTTTCATGTGTGAGTCAAAAAACACATCTTGGTTAAAAATGTCACCAGTGCAAGAATTTCAGTTCTGCAAAGGCTTAATGGGTTTAATAAACCTGACTGTTGACGCTTGTGGAGGTGTGCATAAAGCATACCAGGTTATGTTTCAAGGAGGCCACCACTCTTCTTGCTGCTCAGTGGATGGAAGCTTGTGGGTTCAAAGAAGGGAACTTCTGTTTTCTCTGACTTCAGAAGCAGAAAATTAAATATTCTAGCTCTGCGTGTTTTTTACGTCCTTGTAGTTTAACCAACAGAATTGTTTCATGTTCTATGTGACACAGATAACTACTTCCTGTTTCGGTGTGAGGCCAAGTTTAAAGTAGTGGCGATGAGGAAATGTGGACTTTTACATGTGCTGAGCCGCTCTCTGTAATCCAATAAATGAGGTTTAGTACAGGTTGGACTTTTTATTGTTTGAGGACCGCCTTCTTGATATCCTATTTGACACATACAAAAATGTCCTGTTTCATGGCAATTTGCCAAGATACATTTAGCAAAAATCCTAAGTTTCAATCAAGAGCTATTAGATTCAGTTTGCAGTTTAGGTACGTCCCCCTATGTCTTCGTGTGTTATATCAAATTCTTTTAATAAAATGGGCTGGACGTAATTTGCTATAGGTGGCGCTGTGGAGTCATCTTTACCCTCATAATGTACAACCTTTTCCTCTGAGGGAATATGCAACATTTAAAATCTTGAGTATAACAAATCAGCGCTGGTTGATTAAACTATATGGTGATTACTTTAAAAGCACATCCATCATAGATAAAAAATTGGGCTCGTCCGGGATTTGAACCCGGGACCTCTCGCACCCAAAGCGAGAATCATACCCCTAGACCAACGAGCCATACCGCGCAATGTCGACGTATCCGTATATCAAGGCGATATACAGATATGACATTTAAAAAAAGAATATTGAATTTTTTTGTTTATTATTATTATTATCGGTGATATGTTAATTTTTCCTGTTTATGTGCAATATTGTCATTTTACCGGTTTCTGATGTGACGATATTCTGTTAGGTTTGTGTTGTCATTTTCGTTGTAAAATATGCAAATTAGCGCTATTAATGTCTCGACCGTTATGAGGTTAAAAGGTGCTAACTAGCGCATTTTGTCACAGGAATGCCATCCATTCGACCCCTTATATTAAAAGAAATTGAATTTATCACTGGGGCAAGATGCTTTTAAAGTACTAATGCATGTGTGTTATTTCTTCCCTATATTTTCTATGTGGAAATTCTTTTTTCATGGTTGTCCGTCGGTTCACAGTTGCTAACAAATATAATGTTAAAGTGTCTCACAGCCTGTAGTAAATTGATTATTTTCATTTGGCAACTTTTACAACAGAGAATTAAAAAAAGGGAACTTTTTTGTCTGCAAATAATTTAAAAGTACACCGCTGAACAAACGAATGTAGCATCCCCATCTATAGATGTAACTACTGTACCAGCAAGTGTCGATATAATTGATTAGTTTTAACGTATGCCTAGCTATCATTGTTCACGGCTCGGAACCAATCGAACCCAAACTAACAGCGGGCTCGAAGCCCTGCCTCTGCTCTCGCCTAGTGCATTGTGGTCTGTGTGCTAAAGGAAGCTGCCGCACCGGAATCTGAAGAATTTGAGGTGTCCGCCAAGTCTACTGTTCATTTGCAGCTCGTATTTCCGCTCCTTGTACCTCCGTCTTCACCATCCTCTTTGCGGCCAGACTGTAAGTTAACACGGCAATCGCGAGGGATTCATCAATTATTTATCTAGAAGTGTTTCGGCGTTGCATTGTTGGCGGGCATTCGCGGACTACGCTAACATTAGCTGGGTAAAGTCAACATCCTGCAGAGGAGGCTACGGGGCTGGTTAAAACTATGCTGAGCAAACCAGTTTAAATAGCTGTTAGCCCGAGCTGTTAGCTTGGTAATAAGGGCTTATCTGCCCTCCCTTTGGGTTTTGACCGTAATAAAAATGGCTTATTGGATTAGCTAATATTGGTTTCAGTTGTTTTAAGCATTGGGCAAGCTATTAAGGCTCTCTTAGTTAGCGTCCCTCTGTTAACTGTGTTCAACTAGCTCGTTTTAAATTAGCCTCAAAACCTAGTTGGACGCAATAATATTAGCACTCTGTAAGGAGGAAAAAACAGCATCGTACATATGTATTCTCGCATATACAAAGCCAGTTTTACCATAGTGGGTGTGTTGGCAGTTTCAGTTCACTGAAAGTGTATTGGTAAAATGTAGTAATTTACAAATATTTGAAACTTGGTAGAGGACATTTTCAAATTACAGGGAGGAAGAGGGGTTAGCATAATAAGCAATTCCCAATCTATCATCCTCAAATCATAGCGTTGTAGTGAGAGGCAGCTGGGTGTGATGAAGAAAAGCTTTTTTTTTTTTTTTGTGGCGAAGCACAGCACTTTCACAAGTCATTCGGAGCACAGCTCAGACTTCCTGTCTCTGGCAGTGTCAGATGGGCCTTTTTATGCCTCCATGAATTACCCCAAAGCAGGAAATCAAACTGTTCGGATCTGTTTTCAGCTGTGGCCCCCGTCCGTCTCACCTAACTGCTCTTTCTGCCTCTTTTCCAGGTTTACACAAGGAGAAGAAAATGTCTCAGGCTGACAAAATGAAGGTAAAATAAAACTTTTCCCCTCTGACTCGATGAGAAATTATTCCATATGGGGCCTAAGGCTTCTCATCAATTTTACTTATCAGTCATGAGCTTCCTTGAAAACAAAGTAGTTTAAAAAAAAAAGTTTTAAGACTGTCAAGAAGACCAAATTTAATGAAGAAAGTGAACGTTCTTTAATGAATTTGAATGGTCACTGGGACTGTGAAAACCTTTACTCTGATGGTCTTGTGATTCACATGGGTCTAAATGTAAATGGGTTATAGATACGTGTGACGTCTCAAACAAAGAGTGCAGTTTTGTTAATAATTGGTTATCCTAAACTCAGTATTCAGTAGTATGTGCTCTAGATTCTGCTTATTTTCATGTAAAAAAAAAAAAGGAAAAGATTTTTTTATCACATGAAAGAAAGGGCTTTAAGCATGAATTCTAAATCTGTATGAGATGTTGGTCGTAAATGTTTTCCTTGTGTTTTTTTCCTTTTTTTTTGTTTTACAGCAGGGACAATTCACCAACCCTGAGACCCCAGGGTATGTTGGATTTGCCAACCTTCCAAATCAGGTTCACCGCAAGTCTGTTAAGAAGGGCTTTGAGTTCACCCTCATGGTTGTAGGTGAGCATTTTGTCAACTTTTTGTCAGCCATTTGTGAGATTTGTTGGTGTATCTTAAGATTTAAGTCTGACAACAAAAGTTAACTAAGGACTTGTGTTATTACCATGAATTTATAGCTGTTTGTTTGTTTTTTGTGCTTTTTTTGTATATTTTGGTGGGCAACTTAGGATGTGACTTCTGTGTAGTTACTCTGCTGGTATATGCAGCATTGCAAAGTCCTGACTGTGTGAATCTCAGTGCTTGTGGGGAAAGGGGGAGGGTGGAAACTCCCCCAAAAGCTGCTCATCCTTCTGCTTTAAAATAAACCAGAGTGGAATGTAGCCTGTGTGCCTCCAGGGACTGATTCACACAACGGACAGCAAGGCTTTCTGGGTTTTTTACAGCAAGATGCTCTCTGAGTGCTTATTTATTGAGCCCGTGACCCTGGATCATAAATCAATAAACATTTCCCTGTGCGATGAGGTAGCGGCTGTTCCAGTTAACTGATAGAAATAACAGGGTTATACGGGATACATGCAGTTACATTTACAGTGAGTGCAGAGCAGCAAATATGCATGTCATTTTGGTTTTTGCTTTGTAAAATGTTCAGTTAAGGATCTTGTGTCATAAATCATGATGAATGAGCAGTTGAGAAATAATGAAGTCGTCTTCTTTTCCGTGATATATAATGATCTCTTTGAAAAGAGATCATTATATGGTCTTAAATTCCAAACAAATCACAGGTTTACCTCTGTTCTAACACAGAACATACACAGAGCACAGGATCTGTTACGGAAGTTTTCCTATTGGGGGAAATCTTGATGTCTTCTTATATATTGCAATTGTAATAGCAAAATTGGATTCATGGTAATAAGTTTATCAGATGACGTTTTCAACATCTAGACCTTAACCTTAGTTGTTGTGTGACCTGCGCTGAATTTTCCTACCTTTTTGTTCCGATGTTTAAAGGTGAATCCGGTCTTGGAAAATCCACTTTGATCAACAGCCTCTTCCTCACTGATCTTTACCCTGAGAGAGTCATCCCAGGAGCAGCAGGTAATGCGCTGCGCAGCTCTTTTACTACCACAATTTTGGTCGACCATGTCCTTTTTAATATTGTTTTTAATTTTGTTTTCTCTCATTTTGATAGAAAAGATAGAAAGAACGGTTCAGATTGAGGCATCAACGGTAGAAATTGAGGAGAGAGGAGTGAAGCTTCGTCTCACGGTTGTAGACACGCCGGGTTACGGAGACGCCATCAACAGCCAAGACTGGTGGGATTTTTAATTTTTTTTTCTTAAATTAGCCCCCCCCCCGCAACACCCCTTTCTCATCCAGGCTTTTTGATTATTCAGAGCTTACTTGGGTACAGTGTTTATCATCTTCTTTTGTTTATTTCATTGCAGCTTCAGCACCATCATCAGCTACATTGATGATCAGTTTGAGCGCTACCTCCACGACGAAAGCGGTTTAAATCGAAGGCACATTGTCGACAACAGAGTTCACTGCTGTTTTTATTTCATCTCTCCTCTTGGCCACGGGTGGGTCTTGCCATCTCTCAGAAAAGATGACCCCTACCAAATAAATAAAAGCTCCCTCCCGCTCAAGCAACTGAAAACATTTTATTTAAAAAAAAAACTATCTCTTTGTTCTTTTTCCCGCTCTCCCAAAACCCAACCAGCCTGAAACCTCTTGATGTCCAGTTCATGAAGGCCATTCACAACAAGGTCAACGTGGTTCCTGTCATCGCCAAGGCTGACACGCTCACCCTCAGAGAGAGGGAGAGGCTCAAGCGGAGGGTGGGGATAAAGCTCACTCGCCGTACAGAAAATGTTCCACTTCCTGGCTCCATCTGCATCGGCAGCACATTGCCACAACCATCACGGCAAGCCCGCCGGTTTTCATGGCTCTTTTTCTCGCTTCCTCATTGGTCAGATTCTCGATGAGATCGACGAGCACGGCATCAAGATCTATCACCTTCCCGACGCCGAGTCGGACGAAGACGAGGACTTCAAAGAGCAGACCAGAATCCTCAAGGTAGCCTCTTTCCAGCCTTTACAAAACATTTGACGCATTTCCCTGAGGGTTTGGTTTTTAGGAGTTCTTATCGTATAGTTTGACTTGCTGACCTGTGACGGTACCGGTATGAGTGGCTCCTTCTCCTTGCCAGGCAAGCATTCCATTCGCTGTGGTAGGATCCAACCAGCAGATTGAGGCCAAAGGGAAGAAGGTCAGAGGCCGCCTGTACCCATGGGGTGTGGTGGAAGTGGAGAGCCCAGAGCACAACGACTTCCTCAAGCTGCGGACCATGCTGATGTAAGTGGCAGATGAGCCACAAAAAGCTGTAATCTAAAGCTAGAGCCAGGAAACGGAGCGCTTAAAAGCCAAAACGTCATCAGTAATGAGTATTTTTGTTTCTTTTTTAACTCATCCCATAGAACCCACATGCAGGATCTGCAGGAAGTAACCCAGGACCTGCATTACGAGAACTTCCGCTCCGATCGCCTCAAACGGGGCGGCAGGTTGTCCTCCCATGGTTACATTCTGCCTCTGTCTCCTGCGTACGTACTTTGTCTGTCAGCTTGCTTCCCGGCACCTCCCCCCCACCCCCCAAACACCTCAAACAGCAAATCTTTCAGTGTACATCCCAGTGACAGCAATGTCAGTAGTGGGCGGCTATCGGGTTTATTTCCCGTTTCAGTTCATTCACATGACGCCGTTGATCTAGTACCAGTTATCCTAGCTCTAACTCGTCATTTTGCATGTACTCCATGATATTTTAGCCGGGGTAAATGTAGATGTAGCTTAATTTAACGCTCGGGAGGGGTAGTGGGCATGCAGAGTTTAAGTGACTGTATGGGTTGGGAACAAGATCTCTTTGTGTGTCATGTAACATAGTGTAGGTTTATCATCATGTAACGCCTAATTTAGACCCAACAGATTGTTTTAGCCTGTGTTCTAAAGCCATCCCAGGATAACACCCCCATGCCTTGCCATCTATCCAATAATGGTGGTCTGGTCTCGATTTGTCCAATCTCGTGAGTGAGCTGTCGGAGGTACTGTTTTTGTTTTTCGTCACTGGGGGAGGAAAGCTGTTCCCCAGACTTGGCACTCACTGCTTCCTCTCTTGGATTTTCCTGCTTTTCATTCTCTTCGTAGTTTTCTGTCATAGATGCCCCCTTTTTTTCCACCATAAGCCGGCACTCCTCAATGGAAAAACTAATCCACTAACCCTTTCTTTCCCCCACTTCGTCAATGTGGCTCTTGTCGTGCTTGTCTTATAACGCTTAAAATGGCACAATATGCCCAACTAGCTGAGTCATGATGTGTAACCAGTCATCACACAGCAGCATTAACCTCTCTGACTGTGCTTTTACCAAATGGTGACATATTTTTTGGTTTATGCTGAGTAGAAGTATTAGTTTGACAACATATTATAGAGCACAAAGTAACTAGAGTTGTGTCACTGGTGCAGAAAGGCACCGGAGCCGGAGGAAATGGACAAGGATATGATCCTACAGGAGAAGGAGGCTGAGGTGAGAGATTTTAGGCATTAAAATTATATATGTATATATAGATTTTTAAATGCCTTTTTTTTTTCTTCAAAAGAGCTTTTAAAGTTTCTTCAATGTTACAAATATTTTAAAAGGGGTTGATGATAATAGACTTACTGAACATGATCACTTCATATAAGTTGCTTTGACTGTTGTGAGGAGTTGTATCCTTTAGTCTCAAAACCGTTGCTCTCTCTCTCTCTCTCCCTTACAGCTGAGACGAATGCAGGAGATGATCGCAAAGATGCAAGCCCAGATGCAGAAGGGAGGAGACGAGTAGGGTGAGGCTCCATCTTTTTCTAGACCGACTGCCCACTCCACATCGGGCACACCGCTTATAACCCCGGATATCTCCTCAGCAGTGGCGTTACATCGGTTTGTTAATGGTAAAGTTAATGTGTCACAATTTCTTTCTTTTTCTTCCCTTTTAGGTGTTGAGGCCTGCACCGATCCTGACCAGAGAAAGAAACGGTGTAAAAGATGTCTGGTTATTCCCCTTAACCGGTTGCCACTATTTTCATTTCAGTTCCACGTGGAATTTTACATATATATACATATATATAACATATATATGATTTTATTGCGGATCTTCTGTTACATGGGGATGTTCTGTTATGTGACATCAGGTTCTCCTCCTCTTCCCTCTTCCATAAATGATGGGCTCACACCAGTGTTACCGTGTTAAACTGCCTTCCAGTGTTGCGAAGCTCTGAATTAAACTGTGACCCATAACTTTTAACAGTCTTCCTGTGCACCCGCTGACAAATGAAGGACTAGCGGCGTGCTGCCCGTTTGGTGCTTTTAGTCCACGTTTTCCCTTTACGTATCCACTCTACTGTAAAGCAGCAGGACAGGAGCTTTGGTTGAGTCTGGTTCTTGATCGATGATGTGCGAGTTCGTGGGTGTAAATGTGTGATTTTCCCAACTGCTGAGGCCTCTGTGGTTTCCATGGCCATGGAGGACGACCCCGCGGGGTCAGCGTAGCCAACGTTTTCCCTCACCAGCCAAGATGAGCTCTTCACATTCCTCTTTGTGCTGTTTTTACCCAACATTTCAAAACCAAATATTGTTTTTAAAAACGTATATTGTAATATTAAAGTTGTATTAAATTCCAACAGTGTCATGTGTGATTTGACCTTTTTTTTCCACTTTTTTATTTAATATAGATAATCTTCAGTGAAGAGTCACTTCTCATCTGTGACTTGTCGATAGATGCCAATAAAATTTCAAACCACATACGGCACGTTATTTCTTTTGTATCAATGCATAAACAGAACTGAAAAGAGGCAACCAAAACTCGAAGTTTATAATTCAGAGTCGACAGAAAATGGGGTAACTACCCATAAGAATCGTTTCAGAGTGCTTTTAACATTTTTTGGATTATGCACAGTACATCAGTGCTTTACAGTTTAAAACTGGGTGCAGTGTCTGGGAGTCAAAGTATCTGACTTTCATTTATGTTTATGTATTTAGCAGAAACATAAATGAAAGCTTTCAATGACGTAAGTTAAACAAATTCAGCACACTGAAGACAATGGGCTATTTTTCATTGTTTATTATAGCTGAACTTTTTTCACTAACAGTTATACACGATGCTCTAAATGTCATGGCTTTTTAAATACTCTCCGCTCTTAAAGAAAAACTGTAAAAATATTTAATCATTGCTAATTAAAAGGTCTCTGAGGGGAGTGGGGAAGACGGAAATAGGTGATGGAGACGGTTCAGATGGAATGGTCCTTATCTGCAAAGGTGTGTGAATTTGGGAGGGCAGAAAAAACCAGGGGGAGGTTGGGGTCAGTCGGGTTTACATCCAGTTGGGTTTTCATCGCGAAGATTGAGTGGTGTTACCATTTAAAGAAAACCTGAAAGAAGAACACAAAGCATGACGACACAGTAAGATGTGTTTTCACAACGAGGAACAGAAACGGAAAAGGTGGCAGCTCACCTGCACACTCTCTCCATCATGTGTGTGACGAGACGGTCAGAGATGCCTGGACAGGACTCCTCTGCCAGGTTGAAGGCATTTTCCAGTTCCTCGATGGCTCCGACTCCTCCGCCGCTGGCTCGCCGTTTGTCCTTTAGCTGGCGATGCAGAGAAAGCAAACGGAGAGGAAAGGTTTTAGGCCGCAAAACACCCGCAGCCGCCCTGAGAAGAATATCCAACTACCACAAATTAAGGCTTAGTTTTTACTTGAACGCCAATGAACCGATTTGCTTTGACTAAGGATTAATTCAGAAGTAATACCCAACAATCATCAGCTATAATTTCTTGATTAATATTATCCCAATATCCTAGAAATACTTTAGAAAAAAGCATATGTACTTCTTTCTCTTACTAATTAAAGGTGGCAGCAATTTAAATTTTGGTAGCTGGAAGAAAATCTGAAAATTACATTGATTTTAAAATGTTCAGAGTTATATAATAAAATCTGAACCTGTATATGTACATTTGGTAGTCATTTAGTAATTTAGTTTCAGGTACAATAAAAATTAACAGCTTGGCGTACCTCTCTGAAAATGGGCGTTACCAAAGCAGACAGGCATTGTGACTTAGGTTGCCTCTTCATAGAATCTCCAGACTGAAAATATGAAAAAGGGTGTTAGAAAAAAAAAAAAAAAGACATCCAACTGAATTATTGTCTGCTCTGCTGCTGTGTTACCTCTGCATCTGTGTGTGTGTAGCCCTTCTGCAATTTGTTCATAGAACTGGGTCTGACTGTGGGGAAGGTCCACATGGGACACTGATCTACATCTCCGTCAGCATCCCTGAAGGAGAGACAAAAAGAGAAAGAAATTAGAATGAACTGCATGATTTTAGCCCAAAAAATGGGTTAAGAGGGGAGAGAAATACATCAATATACTTTGTAGATATCCAAAAGTCCTGAAGATTTAACAACATTTGAATTTAAATTAAAAAAACAAAAAAGATATATATATATATATATAAACATTAAAATATATATAAATATTAAAACCCTAGTTTGTATCAGTTTAAAGCTACTTTAACTACACAGTCCAAGTAACATCACACGAGAGCAAATTAATCCAGATTTAGGGCGTATTAAGGGTGAGGTGAGAGATTCTTGAAGGCAGAGGGGATACTTTGTTTATGTGAAAAATGAGACTGACATGTCGGAGTCGTCAGAGCTGGATTCCTCCCCGTGTCCCTCTGACTTCCAGCGACGATAGCGGTCTATGAGCTCTGTCAGATATGCTGTCTTCTTGGTGTAGCGTGTGATGAACTTGTGCTTCAGAAGCTCTTTGGCGGTCGGCCTCTGTGCAGAGCAGGAGCAGCGGATGAGCGTTCATGGCCGGAATATTTGGAGTTAAAAGGACAAGACACTATCATTGTTGTACTTTGAGAATGTGATTTTGGAAAACGTTATATAACTATACTATTTGTAAATCTTTAAAGAAGGTTTGGAAAGAGATTCAGATCATGCTAGAGTATGTGACAAAGTACGGAACAAGCCCTAATTCTCATCAAGGAACAGACAAGCTAATCCAAAATATACCAAATTACTAAACATTTGTTGGATAAAAACATTCACATTTTCTTTGATTAATACTATTTGCCACCATTCTGGCCGTACTTTGCCCAAATGCAAGTGTTTGGTTCAGCTCGGTTTCTGTTTCTTATACTTTCAGATGGAGGTACTCACAAAACGAGGGTCTTTATTTAGACATGCTTCCACAAACTCTTTAAAGGGTTTGCTATAAGGACCTTCCAATGTGGGGGGAGTGTTTTTGGGGATGAGGAACAGGACCCTCATAGGGTGTAGATCAGAGTTGGGGGGTTCTCCTTTGGCCAGTTCAATGGCAGTGATTCCCAGGGACCAGATATCCGCCTGAAAGAGAGAGAAACTGTGAGCTGAACGTGTCTGCTTTTCTGACAACTGATTGCAGAGTTAATTTTCTAGCCTCAAATGCAGATGAATTAACAGAATCCCCATTAAGACAAAAATTGAATCTCATTTTCAAATTATGTAACCCAGTTGTAAAAATATACTGACCTAGAAAGGGAACAAGAAAACAAGTAAAGAGAGCTGAGGAGGAAGTTTTGTTCTGTCTACAGACTGGCCGCACCTTGAAATCATAGGCTGACTGCTTGATGACCTCCGGCGCCATCCAGAAAGGTGTGCCCACAAATGTGTTCCTCTTGATCTGAGTGTCTGTTAACTGTCCGGCAACCCCAAAGTCTGCAAGCTTCACATCGCCCTGCTCCGACAACAGCACATTGGCCGCTGGGGGAAGAGAGGAAAAAAAAATCAGTAAGCTTTGCCTCTAGTTTCTGTTCTGGTAGTCTTTCATCTAACGTTTAAATAACTCACAATACACACAAAGCCAAAATATACAATGGAGTCCCTGCCAACAAAGAAATTAGGAGCTATATACACTTTATTATGTTGAAACGCAAATTTTTCAATGTGTTATTCTTCTCACATGACAGATGGATGCGCACGGGTTCTATTTTCCATAGTTTCATTGTGGTAACAGTTTGACACATTAGCAGACATAATGTGTTTTTATGAAGAATTGTTTAAATAATGCACCCATAAGTCTTTAACAAAGCATTTTAAATCTGCGTTCTCTTTTATTGTTGCTAAGTGGTGAATCCTTAAGCCACGAGGAGTTAAGATTTCTTATACGGAGCACAAAAGAGCTGAGCGTCACTCATTGACACAGGTCTGTCACACTGGAGTTTACAAGCTTGCAGATTCCGACAGTAAATATATGCAGCGTGTTGGCATATTTCGGGCTTATTCTGCCCAGCATCTGGTTCAGACTCGATGTGTTTTTCCCTCAGCAGCGGCCCACTTGTCACAACATTTTTACACCGGCTGATGATGAAGCGGCAAGAATCTAAGAACCTGTGCAGCACAACATGCCATTACAACTCTAACAGAGACTGAATCATGTCTGTAAGGTGCTAAACAGCTCAAACAGAGCGTGCGGTCATCAATGCGCAAAGCTTTTTACCTTTGATGTCTCTATGAATCTTCCTTTCGGAGTGCAGGTACTCCAGCCCTTTAAGAATTTCCCTTAGTATAGTAGCAATGTAGGTCTCTTCTAGAGGTCCGGGTCGGAGCTATGAAGAGGAAATTTCAACATACATGTCAGCAAAGGATTGGACAGAGACAGACAACAACAAACCCCATCTTCCTTAAAAACTGTAACATTTTCAAGTAAGCTTCTTACCAGATCCAGAGCAGATCCTCCACCTAAATACTCCATGATAATCCACAGTTTGGTCCCCTGAAGGGAAGAATAAAAATACATTTAAATTCTGAGCTTTAAAAGGCCTGCTTCATCCACTGCGTGCACAGTTCTTTTACGTTTTCTGTGTGCTGAAAACGAAGGATTATGTAAACATCAAACCAGTCACTTTGCTATGATCTCACCTTTAGGTATGATCCATAATACTTTGTAACAAAAGGACTGTCACACTGGCTCAATACTGTGATCTCCTGCTGAATGTCTTCTATCTCATCCTCTGCCTCCTCCAGGTCGATGATTTTAATCGCCACTACCTCCTTGGTGCGGTTGTTGATGCCTTTGTACACCTCCCCGAAAGAACCCTTCCCGATCCGCTCCTGCTTGGTGAAGTACTCCTCTGGGTCCAGCCGGGTATTCTGGTCAGGCGACAAGTAGGGAAGAAAAATAAATAAATATATCAGCACACAGGCACTAGTTACCATCATCCCAATAGTGCTGATGTTTCCATTTGGAAGCACGTGTGGGTGTGTCTCACATCCAGTAAAGAAGCTACTGCACAGTTAACCTTTAACATCTATGCCCGTAACCATCTATCAGATCATAATTCACCAAATTACCTCGACTAAACTTTGTGCCGTGCTGTAAGTCTTAAAGTAAGACACAGCAAAGTTCAGTGGTTACTTTTATTTTTATGACATGCGGCAACTATAACTGTAAAACACATACCTGAGAAACATCCTTGTACACACACTGTGAAATTTGGATTTTTCATAACAACCAGCTGGTTTACCAGTTTAACATTACGTGTAGCAGCAGCAAGAATAGGAAACGCAAAAGAGGTCAGCTCATACATAACATATTTTCATCTAGATTGATGGATGATACTTCCACCCACCCTATTCCTGAAAAGCCTGGACAGCCACGGGGGATTAGATTGTCTTGAACAAGAATAAACGAGGTGACAGAGAGTTTCTTTACCTGGTTCTGCATGTCTCGAAGGTGTGCCATCTCCTCCGTAGGTTGGACAGAGGAGCAGTCACAGCTCTGTCTTTCCAAAGTTATCAAATGCTCCTTTCAGTTTTTTCCTCCCCTCGCAGCTGTCTAGGAAGCTAGCCTTAACGGGGCTGTCACTCCGTGCACTGTTTTCGGCCTTCAAGTCCAACGGAGGACCGAAGAGCCTGGCGAGACAACGAGCTATTGACCGAGACGCCCCATGTATGTCGGCAGTGAGGAACAAGTGGGAAGAAATTCTCTCACCGTGAATAAATATTTAATTCATTTCAAGTAGAGCTTAGCCTGTTGTTCATTTGAAGCTTGAGGAGGACAAAATAATGGCCCAGATCGACGACGCATGCGCATTGTTCAGAAAACCGTTGGAAGTGTGGGAGTTGTATTTCTAGACTTCGTGAGTGACGCGTTCGCTCACGAACTTAGGTTTCTATTTTGTACTGATATGGTCGTTATCAATTCTGAAAAAAGGAATGGTTTAGTTCTTTTAGTATCATTTTTTAAAATTCAATGTATAATTTCTTTATAAAGTGTCTCAGATTGAACACAGCCCTGGGAAGTATGAATTCTTATGCCTTATGTTTCGATTTGTACTTTTTATGTATATGAGTTTGTATATGTATATGATTTATTTTTCCAAAATCAATTTAACATAATAATTGATTATTATTTTGTAAACTCTTGTGTATGTTACTTCAGTTCATGGAGATTTGCAAGTATTTGTTTATCCAAATTTAAATTACATTGAGGCCTTCACAAGTGAGTAAATATGCGGTGAGGTTCACGTTTGACTAAATAACTGCAAGGTGATCAGGCCATGTGGCTTCCAAGCCAAAGTCAAATCAACCTCCACCTCTGTACTTGACAGATGGTATGTGGCTCTTGTGCTGATATATTGTGTTTGGTTTGCTCAAGTGCTTAACATTTTTGATGAAGCACATCCAACTCTGTGTTATCGGTTTAAAACCTATTATTCCACAAGGTATTTGGTTTGTTCAGATGCTGTTTCACCAACTAAAGCTGTGTTGACATGTTATTTTGAGAGAGGGGAGGGAAGAATTTCTACTGCAACACTTCCAAACAAGCCAAACTTGATTAGCTGTTCTCTAATTAGCTATCGTGAAAAGGTTTAGATCTATTCTAGCTCTTTGTTTTATATAGGTGATTTCTGCTGCTTAAGGGTCAGTTAATCAAGTGGATTTGATACGCACGACCTGATGGCTACTCAAAGTAAAGATGCACTTAATGTTTCACACATTTCTCAGATGATCAAATCAGGACAATTAATAATAATTTAGGGTGTAACTTGTTACATTACATTAAAAGATAAACAAAAAAATAGGACCAATATTAAGACTTTGAATTCACATTGTTATTGTGGGAAAGATGTCGGACACAACATTCTGAATATACTTTACATGCACTCATATCTCACTGAAATACCATCAGAGTTATGTATTTAATATTTGAATTTATAATCTATGTATTGTCACGAAAACATAATATACAAAATGTTTGAAAGGCGAAGAATGTATGTGAACCTCGGTGAGTATGTATGAATAATCGGTTTTATTTCCATAAATATTGAACAGTTCAACTAAATTGGCGACTTGAAATTTCAATGGATTTATGAGGGTTCGCTCGTTTTTTCACAAAAAAACACCTGCTACTGCAGCCCCACGAAACTGGCACTGTGGTTGACAAGCTCCGCCCCTACAATCACACGAGGCGGTTATTGACATCTACACCAATTCTAAAGCGTCTATTTCTGTTACGCCTTTCCGCTTTTCCCTTGCCCGCGTTCCCGGTTGATGCTGTTTATATCACAGTACGAACAGCGTTTCGACTCATGGTATTTTAAACCCCGCGGTGTTAAAACCTGCACGGTAAGTCGTTACGGTAGTCAGAGCTCTTGACAAGGAGCCTCGTACCGCGGACAGTCAGCGGTTGTCAGCGCACAGTTAAGCTAGCGTACTAAATGAAACCAACCAACATTTCTCGTCAGTTAAATCATATTAATCCTAAATTAGCTAGATACTAGCTTACACGCCAGCTAAACATGGCGTCTTACATTGATTTTCATTCAGTGACATTGAAGCCGCGTGCCAACAACAGCTACACGTATGTCATTGTTATGTAATTTCAAGCAACACGGCATTAAATGCTAATTGCAACACACTATTTATTAGCTTTTATTCCTCCACCCCGTACCTTCCACACCATTTCCTCCTACAATGTGACGGGATGTGGTTTATTCATTCAAGACACGTAAAATACCGTATAATGGTTTGAGCATTGGTATCTGGGCTAATTAACCTGGGCTGGCTGCCACTGTCATTTAAGATAAGCCGTTACGATACTGCTTTAACAAAGGCCGAACAATTTGGTTTTCGCCCTCTAACATGCTCATTTGTACGATGGCAGCATCTGAATTTTAATGATTTGATAATATTGTCTCACCACAGTGCATTCCTGTAATAACTAACAATATTTTTTAGGACATGAGATTGACTTTTGAACGTATCTGCATTAATCCCACCAAACACCAAAAATGCAGCTTGAGATCATGATCCCTGAGTTTATTTATCATTGAGGGACACTTTGCAGTCTGCTCCTAAGGATGTTTAGCACAGATGTAAAACAGCGTGAAGTTTGATGTGCCTATTTAATAGAAAGAAGCTTAGTGAGCTTCATCAAAAGAGCTGTCATCAGAAAAAAAACAGATTTTGCTATCACTGAAGCCTAAGTATCATCATATCCACCCTTTTTTGCCTGACAAGAATAGCCAGAAGTAGGTTTGGAATAATAATAGCCTTGAGTCTAGGTTAATGCATTTAAACCTTTCAGCTGTTCTAAGCTCAGAATTAGTCAGAGCGATCATTTTATTTCAGTGTTTCCCAGTCTAAAAAGTCGTCTATATCAGCTTTGAACTGTACTGTCTTTAGTTAAAATAGAAAAGGACTAAGGCTTTTTTTAACAAGCTATGGGATCTGCTGTTGTATCTTCTTGCCCTGCTGTAATTTCAGTTTGTATCTTCTCTTCTATGTTTTTCCATGATATGTGTCTGCAGACCGGATGAGTGGGTCAACCTTCTCCCCCTCTTCAGAGGTGGCTGAGATGAACCGCATCCATTTTGAGTTGGAGTTTACAGAGGGTATTAGTCAACGCATGCGAATACCCGAGACCCTCAAGGTGGCTCAGGAGAACCAGAGCGGGCACGTCCCACTTCAGCTGCCCCTGCCTCCTCATGCCACTCTGATGCAAGTTCCTGAAAGGATCGTTGTTGCAGGTGAGATGGTTTGCTTTGTGACGTAAAATTTGAAAAATCTTGAGTTGATCACACAAAATAAGAACCGTGCTAACACCATGACCCATTAAGGCAGATTTAAACCTTTGTAACCTTATGCCCAATCTGCATGCAGGTGATGATGATGACTCAAGGTTTGCTCGTCCTAGAGACTTGGATTTAATTCAGTCAGTCCCACCTGTGGACCTGCTTAGCATGAAGGCCCCACCTCGTGTCCTCACACTGACGGAACAGCCTCTGGACTCTCTTGAAACTGAACAAACTGCCAACTCACAGACCAATCCCAGCCAAGTTGTAAGTGATAGAAAGTTCCCTATTATGTTCCTTTAATTGACAAGTTATTTAACTTTGGTGTTGGTTTTAGGTAAATGATAACTTTAATACATTGAGTTTATTTAAAAGCTATAGTTTGGGTCAATCCATCATCCATTCCCTCTTAAAAGGTAAAACAAGCAAAGTGAAACCAACAAAAAAACAAGCATAATCTGCCTATTTCCTCAGTGTTTCATATTTGAGATCAATTGTTTTCAGTGTCCTGTCAAACCTTCCCTACCTGTTTCCTGGTATGAGATGGTGGGTCTGGCATTTCCTGCCTCTGTTGCCCCTCTCTTGTCATGGTAGGGTGGGGGTAGTTGGAAAAAGATGCAGCTAAAGGGACACTCATTGTTGGATTTCCTCTGCATGGTTTTGCCTCCAGTGTTGCAACTGGTTAGGTTAGCTGCTATTCTTCTTTCATACTACTTTGCACTAACTTCACTCTGTACAGTGGTCTGCGCCGCATTTAATTGTACTAAATCAAGCTGTAGCTGTTACCATGTTGCAATGGCAACAGAACTACTTTTCTGAGGTTCTTTAATTTTCTTCAATGTCCTCAATGCTGTTGTGGGAAGTCTATTCTAAAGCAAAAGTCTGAGTCCATCTGAGTGAGTAAGAAATAGAAATGTATTAAAAAGGACTTCATTAAGTGAGAGCAACCAGCACGATCATAGAAGTGGTTCATATGATGTACAAAGCTGCTCCAAAGACAAAAAAAAAAAAATCATAGTGCATTTTACACCCCTTTCTGAGTCTGAAATGAGAGGTAAAGTCTGTCTTCCACCCTGCACCTGTATTAAACAATCCTCACGAAAAAACACTAAGAGGCTAAATATAAGGAGAGCTTTTCTCAGACCTTGAAAGAGCCCCATGAAAAAGAAAAAGAGCTTTTAAAATATTCCCTAATGGAGAGTTACCAGAGAGAAGTGAAGAAATTGATTATACATATATTGATTTCCCTTACAATGCCTATGTGTATTTACTTATTGGCAAGGTTTGGACATGCAGGCCTCTCCAATAAAACAGGGGCATCCTAGGTTACCATGGTGACAGCTGAGGAAGCACTAAAGTTGATTCAGCAAGGACACACTATCCTACAACTATTTGCAGACAATTGTGGAAGCTTTCAGAGGACTACAAGCTTGCTTTATGGAGGCTGGCATTGTTGCCAAAGGTTCTGTAAGCAAATATGAGTGAAGTGTGACAATAAATGAGCCTGGGTTACATTCAGTATTGTTTCATGATATTATTATTTTTTCTAAATGTGATATGAGAACATTTGGGATTTTATGAAAATCTTTGGGTTGTTTCATCCTCATGTATATGAGGAAGTTCTGACATATGTAGTTGTAATCCAAGACTCATTAATACTGACTAAACAGACGTATTTATGGTTTCACCATGTAATTTAAATATGTTCTTTTTGTCAGTCACATTGTTGCGCTGTCTCAAAACTCATGAACATAGTCCTGGCCAATTTGCTGTTTTGCTGTGTTCCACATGAACTCAGATAACTTACCACTTGCACTGATTTTCTGGGCTCCGATTTTACCCTTCTTTTTTCCACTTTGCTTTACCCACATACTGCACATAGGCAAACTAGTGCAAGGTGTACCCACTATGTGGATGATAGGCGTTGTTGCAGTCAGCTGCTAAACAAATTTTAAATGGGCAGCTTTAACAGTGATATTCTAGAGGTTGATGGCGATTTTTGAACATTTTCTGCAGGTCCAGGTCTTAGTCAAATCTTGTGTTTCTCACTGAACTAAATCTTTTCCAGTTGGTATAAGTTCCTGGACTCCTGGCAGACCAGTCCTGGACTTTCTAGCATAAAGTCATGGCATTTAGAAAGATCCAGCATTAGTGTGTTGTCCTGCTGATATGTGCAAGGCTTTCCCTGAATAATACATTACCTGGATGAGAACAGGTGTTGTTGCTCTAAAAGCTGTGAAGGCTTAAATTATATGCTGTGTTGCATTCCGATGTGAATGTTTCTCAATGACTCCCATATGATGATGTGACTTGTGAACAGAACACTGATAACAAGTAGTTTCAGTGGACACCGTCTACATAATTCCCAAAAAAGAAATTAAAATTTATATTTACCTGTTGACAGAACAGTTTTTTTCTTTGGTTTGGCTATTTTTAGACAAACTTTGACCATGCTGAATCTTTTTAGTTTTCGGATGGCACTTTGAACGCGCTATCATTTTTTGAGAACTTTTCCTGGACCCATTTAGTGATTTCCATTACATTGATTTCCCAGCTTTCTGATTCTTTTTGAAGATATTAGATACTGGACATGATGGAGTTTTTGACTGAATGTTCTCTGATTTTTACTCTAGAAAAAATGCTAAAAATTACTTACAATTTTACCTGCTGAACCTCTGTTCAGTTCTAATGGACTCGGGCTCTTATTCTCAGTCATGTTATTGACCAGTTGATGTAATTAGTTGCAAGATGTTTGTCCAGCCCTACCTTTTTAAAAGATGTATTGCTGTCATCAAATTCAAGAGCAGCAAATATTTTCAAGAAGCTGTGAAATGTTTGTGAAGTAAAAAAATAATTGTATTCTGTTTTTAGAGAGTAATTTAGACAGCACTCAAATACCTTTGAAATGTAATTGTTATTCAGTTTAATAGTTATGTAAACCTGAGCTTATATACTCTCAGATTCATTGCCCCACAGTTCCTAAAGAAAATATTGTCTATGAAGAAATAATTTCCCCCCTACTTTTAGTTACACAAAGTGTAAAAAATGGTTTATTTTGTGTGATGTTTTACTCGTACCTTGTGACGTGTTCCTTACGCCAATTAAAATTTCTAATCTAAACAGGCCAACATCCATTCTCGATCTCGGAGAGAACGCAGTACAAGTGAGAACATATCTGGTCGTCAGAGCCACCAAATCAGCAGAGGTGACATGAGGTAAAGGCACACGCACAACTGAAACTGTTTTTGAATTACGATGTCACTCGTTGTTTGAAAAGAAAAAGTATGACTCTTATTTACTTCTGTATCCTCTCTCTCTTTTCTCTGTCAGTGTAACCCCCTCCCCTCCTGCTGTTCCCCCAGTTAGATTGTGTCCTCCTCTCTGTTCCCCTGAAGACGCCAACATCCACATGTTCACAACTGCTGGATTTCTGTCCTACATTCAGTCAACAACCCGTCGTGCATATCAACAGGTCATAGAAGTTCTTGATGACAGCCACCGCAGGTGATTTTCTTTTGCTTTTTTTTCACTTACAGATACAATCAACACAATTGTAGAGTTCATTACATTGCATTAAAAAAAGAGTTTGAGTTGTCCTGCTGCTAACACTGTTTTACGGAACATGTTAGCCAAGAATCCATATTAACACGTGTTTATCTCTACAGGACATACTTAGACCTGGATATGAACCCTGACGAGTCCGGCCTAGCTGATGCTTCGTCACTGAGACGTCAGGTTGGATATACAGTCTTGATCAATCATTCAATATTTATTGCTGAAGCACAAAAGAATTGCAACACAAAGTGCTTTCAATTATTTCAAAAAGCTCTAATGATTAAAAAAGAAAAAAGAGCTCCACTTCACCCATCAAAATCCCTTGAACATGAGTTGCCCATATACACACACACACACACACACAAATAAATAAAGAATGACGCGTTGTATTCAATCTCACCAACAGTATTGGGCAAACACTGGAAGTTTGAATAAAAAGAGTAAAATGGATAAGATTTGAAAATGAAATACAATATAAAACAAATCCATCCATCCATTTTCTGTGTTGTTTATTCTCAAATGGGTTAGCAAGAGGACTGGAAACCAAAATCAAAAATAAAAGGTTGAAAAAAAAAACTTTTTTGGGAAATATCAGTAAAAAGTATGAAAGACATTGTTTGGATACAAAACAATTTCAGTACATCTGCACGAGAGTGTAAACCCGTTAAATGCGTTTATTAATACATTTATTTGTAGATTAATAAATGAATACATTTATTAAACCTGATCACAAAATACTAATATTTTATTTAACAAAGAATAAATGTAAGTAAAGTTTGACGAATATAAATAAAAGATAGTCACTTAAAATCTGTACTAAAAAGGGGGGTATTAAGTTCTCTTTTGAAAACGTCAACACTTCAGGAAAGCTGTTCCAAAAGCAATAAGGATAAAAACAGGTTTCTCCATATGTTTTAGTTCCCGCTTTAGGAATAAATGATAGGCCTAGACCCTGATGGCTTAAGGGCGTTGGGAGGCTCCTAAACAATAACAAGATGGACAGATACTTTGGACTAAAACCATCAAGAGCTTTAATAAGTTATTTCCAAAACTTTAATGTTTCCCTTTTTGTTGGGGTTTAGTATGTACAGGGACAGCCAGAAAAGTCTGCTCGAGTTAGCCCTCACTAGATGACAAAATAAAAAGAAATTAAAACGGCTTTTTATTTTCTGATAAAGCAACGGAGTCATAACTTCACCAAAAAAGCAACAAAAAACTGGGTGATTGACAGGTTGCATGACATGCCCCTTAATTTGCCGATCATTTGGGATAAATCTGGTCTGAATCTACTGAATTTGACTTTGTTCAGAAATCACCAGACTTGAAGGAAATAGTCATCGGCCTGTTGGTATCCCTGAAAACTTAAGAGCTTCTCTTCTCTTCAAGTTAGGTATACCATCCCCACCTATGTTTAAAAAACAAAACAAAGGGGTAGTTGAACATTTCCAAATTACCTGTTTGCTTTTAGTTAACTTTACGATTTTAAACAAAAACCTGTTTTAATTATTCCCCTATGTCTGATGTAATGAATTACGAGGTAAACAAAGCAAGTATCACTTGCTTTGGAAAGGGAGGGATTATCCACTTTTTTTCCCTCAAAAGCAAACATTATACAGCTTCATAAAACCCACCTTGAAGAAGGACAAGTTCTATTTGTGTTTTGTTGAATCAGTGTCCTGGCTAAGCCAATGTATAGTCACCCTGTTAAGAGTATAAAATATTCATTTGTACATGTGTTTGTGATCTAGATTGTGAAGCTCAACCGACGCCTGCAGCTTCTGGAGGAAGAAAACAAAGAACGCTCCAAGCGAGAGGTGATCCTGTATTCGGCCACCGTAGCGTTCTGGCTAATCAACACTTGGATCTGGCTACGTCGCTAAAATTGGACGGAGAGTCCCGCTTAACACTGGAAGCCAAAGCAACTCTTTGTTTAAGGTGTAGTCGGTGTATTACAGCTTACCCCCTCCACTGACATTTAGAGGCAACCATGGAACACTCCCACACGGACAATAGGTCGCTCACACTGGTGTTTTAAGATTGACTTACAGAACCCAACTTTGACTGTCAGCACATTGGTTGAAGTCAAAAAGCACAGCCTTATGTAGTTTGGATTTTTTTTTTTTTGCTGTACAAGACTTTAATTCGGCTTCTATCCACAATTGAAAGCCAAGTTATGCAACTTGGTTGCTGCTGAATTAAGCAAAGCGAAAAAAAGCACCTTTTCTCTCCCATTCCAAAGGAAGTCGGCAACATACCTTTACAAACAACCTCAAAGCAACAACAGCAGCTGCACAAAGGTGCTGAGTTTAGGTCAGATAATTGCTAAATCGGTCTCAAATACGTTATTTTAAATATATCTGAAAAGGTCAAAATTAGTATTTTTTGTTATTCAGCAAAACGAAGGTGAATCTGGATCTTCCTAAGAGCATTTTCTTGTGAAACCAGGACAATAAATAGGCAAAAATGTATCTATTTACCAGATTATGCAGCACACCACTATGGAAGGCAGTTTGCAGTGTATACAACATAATGAGTGTGTGGTAGTGATTTTGCCTACTTTTGAATCCTTTCTCCACTTTAAAAAAAATTGTGTTCGTGTTTTATGTTCATTTCTGGTTGTCAGCGGTTACTAAAATGTTACTGTTTGCACATTTAAAATGTACTTTTATGTGGAAAGATGATAGCTGGTGTACTTCCCTGTGAACGGATGTGCACCTCCCCAGCAATGTGAACATGCACATCAATGCAGACCACCATAACATTTTACTGGGTATGACTGGTAAAAAGGTACTTCTTTGCTCAAATGTGATATTACTGTGGAACATATGTGTAAAATGTCACAGGTTTGAACTGGATCTGTATTCAAAATTAACCCTTTTTGAATAGCCAGCATTCTGCCATTATCCCAAATTTCAGAGCTATGCCCCACTGCCGAACTGACTCTTGAGTCCTCATCTATATTCGCTTTCCCCTGAATATTTTAGGGAGCTTTTTATGCTGATCGAAACAGTCACAGTGCTGCACAGGTAAAACTGCCCACATTGGCGTTTGTTTATCTATAAAAGCTCTGTTGGCAACTTGCACACACTTTACTTGCACAGGTAAGTAAAATGGGTGGGAAAGATGGCTTTAAAGCCTCAGTGAAACAAGGATTTACTTTGGTGACAATTGTTTTGGGAACACAGTTTAGAGCTGAGACTATAGTTACAGGAAACCTCAGGCCTGACCTGAAGAGAAGGTCCAATAGTTTGGTCATGAACTACCATTTGTAAAGTGTCAAAATGTAATGACTAAATCTAAAGATGCCATAACAAATGACCTGTATTTTCGCTGAGTTCCTCATCTCTCTGAACATTTGTACTTGAATGCTATAGTACCTCTATGTTTCTTTGGAAGTTACATGTTTTGTGATACTCAGTTTTATGAAGTGGGAAAATAGGAAATTAATAATGTGAACTCCTAGAAGATTAAAATCATGCGTTCAAAGGCTTTATTCATGACATACTGTTGATCTATGTTCATGTGTAATAAAAAGCAGTGTAAGAATAAAATAATAACTTTAAAATAATGTAGGCCTATTTGGTGCATCTATTTCATGTATGTGATACAGAAGCATTAGAAAAATGCTGGATTGGTCTTTTTTGTTTTTTTTTGCAAAGCACCACCTGCATGTACCATGTCTTAAGTTTGATTTCTAATTTAAGCATATATATTTTTTGTAATATATTACATGATATATTTGAATATATTCATTGTCTGTAAATATTTTTTGCTGTAATAAAGGATGGATGTTCATTCCCTCCAGAACCTGCGTTATTTGTACAGTACTGACCTCTGCTGTTTAAGTGTTTACCAGACAAGGAAGAAACTGGTGTGCTTATAAACCTGATTTATAATCTGGAGTCGGAGAAGGAAATGGTTACGATAAATCTCCCATATGTTTCACCACAGCTGGATCATTCATAAGTTATTTTTTAAGGAGCAAACGCGTTTACTTTTCCTTTCTCGTCACACACCGGAAGTATGAATAAAACTTAAGAGCCAGCAACAACAATGGGGATCACTAAACTGGCGGAACTGATCCGTTTTAATGCCCCAGGTGCGATTTCTCATAAGGACATCAGAGACTACACAGGTAACAAACCTACCCACGCAAGAAAGCTACGCGTGTTAAAGCGGCTGTTGCTAGCTGCTGTCGTTAGCATGCAGTCTGCTGACTAGTAGCTTAGTTAAAAACATCTGACAGCACTAGTCAGCTGTTTACAAATTCAGATGGAAGCCTGACATGTGAAACCTAATGACAGTCAACTAAACTTTTTTCCCCCTCTCCCAGATTAGTCCACTATATAGATTGGGGATGAATTGAAAGCTGTTGTGTGATTCTTTGGTTTTGATGCTGCAGTTTTATCTATCCACAGGAAAAGCCATTGCATTGGATGCATCTGTTGTTGTGAACCAGTTCCGGACAGCCACACCCACACAGAGGTGAGAGATCTATCTATTATCTATTATGACTCGGCTCTACTGGCCTCTCCACGGCTTTATTTTTATGGCTCGTTTTCATTAGTAAACCCTCGTCATTCTACATGTTTGTTTGTTTTTTGCATTTCCAAGAGGGGCTAAACAGGTACAATGTTGGTACTGTACCGGGGTTCCATCGAAGGCCCGCAGCAGTCTGCCGGGCGCTGATTGGCCAGGAAAGTCACATGATTAGACAGCGACTCCTTAGGAGCACCTAGACTATTTTAACACAACAAAACCTAAATTATTTCATTATTTCTGTGACCATAAGCCTCGTTAATGCCTAATACACAAACCAACACCACGGTCCACCCCCGAGGTTTAGGTGGTTTCAAGTTGTCTTGTCCTTAATTTGTTATCTCTTGTTTGTGAATGACGTCATCCACCGGCCGACCCGTCTTTTTGTTCGGCTGTGATTTGTGATGGCAAACCACCTAAACCGTGTAGAGCAGTACTGGGCAGAACCGTGTAGGGCTTGGCAAAACCGTGTAGGGCTGAGCAGGCACTACTGGAGAAGCGGCATTAGTTTTTTGCATTCCAAGTAAGGTCCAAGCAGAGAGACTGGCCGACCAGCCAATGACGCAATTTTTATGCGACACAAGCACAGACAACAATGAAAGACACCATTGTGACGAAATAGAGTGAAACTAGGTGTTGGACTGCTGGGCTGCAGTGTTGGCTCATTTATTAGATATTTACAATGTGGGTTATCACAGGAAACCTATCTGGGTGTGTAACTCCCTCGACAATCAGCGGCCTGCAGTTTTCTGCTGGCCCGACTTAGGCCACTTCGAACCCCTGACCTAGGAGGTGCTGAAATTGTAACCATTTGGAGGCACCAGCCCCTAATGGAAATGCCAAAAAGAATAGTACAGTCCAGCTGAGCTGTGCGGAATAAGTACTAGTGGGAAACTCCAAAAATGACTTCATCATGTTAGGCTGAGAAAAGATCTGTTTCCACACACTTTCCACCCAATTCAAGCTCCTATGTTAAATTGTCATTTATCATGCAATTTATGATGGAAATACATTAAATGAAATATTGGTACAGTATTTTTGGTTTTAATGCTGAAATCACTGTTGTTATTTGTTGGTTGGCTGAGTGTGTATTCTCTGAAGCAGCATAAAGTGTCATATCAGACTGCTTTTGGCAGAATGGGTCTCTGATGGCCTCCTCCTGCCACGTAAACAAGATGACACAAGTACTAAAGTTAGTCAAAATAATATATTGAGATATCATTTTTTCACTCACAATAGTTGGGTGTCATTTCCTTGATTTTCATTTCTGTAGCGTGCTGACTGGCCTCTTCTACCGCACGCTCACCTTTCTGGAGCATGACATAAAGCCAGTCTTTGTATTTGATGGAAAGCCTCCAGTGGAGAAGACTCCTGTTGTAAGAAAGTCTTGACTTTCCCTTTTTTCCCCCTACCCATTTTATGAGCAAAGAGTAACTTTTATCTTGCTTTTGAGACATCTGTCTACCAGAGATAATTGTCAAAATTGACACATTTTGCTAACAATATGTGACCGACCTGTATAATTGCATTAGGAAAACAGAAAAGAACAGTGAGATGAATATTATCGGTGAATACTGATCACCAATAATACTGAAAAGACTTATTTTTCCTGTAGTTGCAGAAGCGAGCTGAGGCAGCTGGCTGGAACCACGCCAAATGTACAGGCACAGGTACACCTGAATGAAATGTAAAATGATGTGGCTAAGGACCTCTTTGCATTTTTGCATTGATTCCTTAGAGACACATTGGGAATTTTGATGCCCTCAACTAATTCTTGAGTTTTCCCTGCTCACCGTAGCATCTTCACAGACCCAGGATTGCCTCGAGCTCCTGAAGCATCTTGGCGTACCTGCCATCCAGGTAAAACCTGTCAACATATTTTTTTTCTGTATTATCTGTGCAGAAATTTTCAATTTCATTCACCACTTGACGCTTTTTTTTTTCAAACCATCTCTCAGGCTCCAGGGGATGCCGAGGCCCTATGTGCCCACCTGGTCAAAGAGGGGGCTGTCGATGCCGCAGCTTCTGAGGACATGGATACATTGCCCTTTGGGGCTGACATTCTTATTCGCCAACTGAATGCCAAAAGGGAGAGGTAGGAAAGAGGAATGTATGGTTGCTTTCCTAAACTAATCCATTCTCCAGCTTAGCATATACTGATTCTTGCAAATTTCATCAGCATGGAACATATTCTTGCAATCCCTTTTTTGAGAAACAGTCAACATTGTGATAGTTTGAAAGTAGACTCATTCCCTAATTAATGAAGAAATCAAAAATATGGAATGAGTTTGTTTACATCTGGTGTTGACATCCGTCCTAGTTGATCGTATTACACGTTAACCGTGTTAGGTTTGCGTATCTAGAATGCGCTTAGATCTCATCCCTTGGACGACATTTAAAGATTGTCTGGAAAGCGCGTGATCACATTTTACAGCAGCGTTAAAAAATCTATATAGACAAAGTATTAGTTCGATAAAAGGAAACATGGGCCGCAGCCGTAGCCTAATGGTTAGAGCGGGCGGTCCATATGCAGAGCCTCTGCTCTCAAGCGGGCGGCCTGGGTTCGAATCCAGCCCATGGCCCTTTCCGCAGGTCTCCCCCTCTCTATCTCTGCCCCCTTTCCTGTCAAGCTACAGTCATTAAAGGCCACTACAGCCCAAAAAATTGTTAAAAATTAAATAAATAAATAAAAGGAAACATATACGCCCAGAATACAAACTGATAATTTAGAGTTTGATACATTTATTGAAAATTTGGCTTTATCAGAATACAAAAAAAGAAAAAAAACAATAAAAACCAACTAAAAGAAACAAAAATACACCAATTACTAAACTCATCATAGACTATCCCAAATAAAGCACTTTTAATATTATCTTAATTGTTTATATGTACTTGGTCAGCGGAAATTTAAGTATAGAAGCGCTTTTGTCAATTTGAGGCCTTATTGGCAACTTTAGTTTCAACATTTCACAGTCACCAACATGTAGTTTGATTTTCCTTTTTTTTTCAACTGAAAAATCTGGAAAATTGCATAGACCAATCACTATGTTTTAAATCCTCCCAGAACAGTTCTCTCTGTTGGCACTGCAGTTTGTTTCATTCTTGCCTACAACTTAAGACTAGAATCTCATTTATAGCAAATTGTTTATACTCTGCTGGGCTTTATTCCTTCGTGTTATTTATTGAATCATTTTAACAATTAAATGAATAACATGAAATAAACCATTTCCATTTTCACATTTTAAAATAGACTGAAAAGCTCTTGAACTTTTCTTTTCATGCTGAATGATGATGATGTATGTTGGCATTGATTTTTGGTAATGGTAGGTCTTGCATATTTAGAAAAGATAATGTAAAAAACATGACAGTTTAGTTATCTTGAAGTCATAGCTCAGGTGGACAGAAATTTGGCATTCTAGTACAGTGGAATGTTTTATAGGCTCTCTATGGGTTTTATGTGATGTGTCAGAACTCTTTTACACAAGTGTTCGCGCGTAACTGGTGATTTAAGAAAATTACTGCCTTTGACGTTTCACTGTCATGTAGTGATACTGTTATATTTTTAGCGGATGAGGCTGGGAATCCTAAAATCGGCATTTGTGGTCCAGTTCACTGGTGGCTTCCCAGAGAACTATTTTAAACTACAGTGTTCTGACAGAAATGCTCCACAGAAAAGAATAATGCTGCATATATTCTTGACGTAGCATATCGCAGTCACACTTGAGTTATTGATTATATTTAGTTTAATATGAGACAATATTATAATATTATTATTTCATTTTGATATGAGGATTTCAATAATGTGCTTCTTGTAATCCAAAGATATTAAGAGTTAATAGAGGGACAGTGTGATCAGTGTTTTGGGACATAGCATCAGAAAAAAATGTTCATCGCTGTGTTAAATGACAACTGTATTAGGAATGTTTTATTTGAGAATTCACCAATTAAAACCGCAGATGATTAACATCGGCAAGATTTCCAACTGTGACATCACAGTGTCCCATTGGCCTGATGTTTAGCTGCCGGATTGTGCTACGTTTCAACTCACCAAAACGGCAGGGTGTCAACTGTTAAGACAGAGCACGTAGTTTCACATTGAGAAAACTGTCTGTGTGAGATGTCAAGGTGATTCTATGACTCCTGGGGCCATTGGGGCCCACGTGCACTGCAGCATTGGAAACTGCTGATGCAGCAGCGAAGCGCTAATGTCATTGACAACTGCACCAGGGGAAGCATGTGGTGTGGTGCCTATTGATCTTCGTGTGGCAGACCATAGATGATCCCAGAGGCGCTCTGGGATGGCTGGTTTTGTTGTCCACAGCAACATCGACAGGAGGGGGCTGGACCCTGATAGCGAGTACTCACGTGTGGTTTTGGTGATCTTATCAAGGATTGATAATCTGAGATCTGTTCTAAAAAAATGCTTCTAGTGAAGTGCATTGTGTGGGGTTTTGAATCATTTATTCACAACTTTTGCCGTTGCAACACAAGCTATAATGCAAGCTTTACGTTCTGTAGCATATCCGGCTAAACATGATACAATATATACCTGAGTGTTTTAGCACTACTGCTCCTCCTCGGTGGTTGATGTTTTTCTATTCAACTGATCAGATAACTCTGCCTCCTCTCTACAAAGGCATGTAGATTCCCAGTGGACACATGTTAACATATGAAATCATTTACGAATGTCTGCTCCAACGGTAGTCTGTTTTAAAAAAAACTGCATTTGTGCTTGTATTGTAAGTTTAGTCTCTGGTGCATGTGTGCTTTTCATGGAACCTTGAGTAGCATAACATTTACAGATTGAAAGAAGGAAAAAAAACATAACATAATAACTGGGAGAGTCATATTGTGGCTAGCGTTGAATATGAGATAAGGGGACAGTGGAATGAACAAAATCCTTGAAAGACCCACACGCATTTGCACACACGGCTGCCCACACACGGTAGAGAGTGGAAAGCTTTAGGAGCACAGGTGTTCCTGGCCCCCCACAGGACATACACAAAAAGGGGGTGGCCATTAGGTTTATGGCAGGACAGAGAATTATTTTAAAAAAGGGAAAATAAAGGGCTGTGCAGGGCCGTATTGGAGGGGTCAAGGCCCCATGAAACATGCTTGGACTTTCCCTTCTCCTGAGGTTTTCGGACTCATGTCCTTTAATCCTGTTTAACGCAATTGTTTCAATCGAATATTATTTTTGAGTACTTGAGTCCCAGTTTAGACCAGTAAAAAAAAAAAGATTGAGATGACCAAGAAACTGCTATATTTTTAAATAAAGCAATTTTTTACTCCTACAATAGATCCATCTGGGAATCCAAACAGTTTAAGTGAAACTGTAGATGTTTAGAAAACCCATTCTTGCTGACCAACATGAGGCCGATCATCCACCTCGTGGGTAAAGGGAGATTTCTTTGTTATCTGATGTAGAGTATATGTTTTTTTCCTCCCTCAGTGAAGTTGTTGAATATTCCCTACCTAAGCTGTTAGAGGAACTCCAAATTAGTCACGAGGAGGTAAGAATAAAACATTCATTCAAATTTGAATATGATAACATAGCTCAATATGTGAGATAAATCTGTATGGAGCCCCTAAAAGACAAAAAATAAACATGCCTTCTATTTTTTCTTTTGATCGTTCAGCTAGTCGACCTGTGTATTTTGCTGGGTTGTGACTACTGTGACAAGATACCTGGTTTGGGTCCAAAAAAAGCTCTGAGACTGATCCAGACGTATCGTACAATTGAGAAAGTCATCCTGCATATCAACAGAGAGGTATTACTAACATGGAGTTAATGGCCTTTGTGTTGCTGTGTCTGTATTAAAACAACATTTAACATAAACTAGAAGATTAAATTATTTTTGTAAAAATTCTGCTGTCCTTCAGACCCATTCGGTACCACATTTCTGGAAATACAAAGAAGCAAGGAGGATCTTCTTGGATGCCCCTCAAATCCCAATTCCTAAACTCCTCTGGACAGAGCCAGATGAAGAGGCTGTGGTGAGGTTCCTCTGTCATATCAAAAGCAACAAGTGCGTATTAATCTTGCCATCCTTTTACTCTCTGTCGGTCATCTTTTTCAGGACTTTGAAACTCTTAAGAGCTGCAACTTTGTTTGTGCTTGTGCGTTTTCAGAGAAGGAAGAGTACGTAATCGGATAAAGACGTTTCGTGACAAGCGAGAAAAAATGCGGGATGAGAGGCAAAAAGACAAAGCAGCCGGACGCAACTGGCAGACTCAAATGGAGGACTTCTTTAGAGTGACCAGGAAGAGGGCTCACGTAAGCAAAGTGGGGGGGGGAAATCCATGACAAACATGTGTTTTCGTTTATTTTAATTACTAGAACTTTTACACTTCAGGACATGAAAAGGCTAATTTGATCCTTTTCAGGGGTCTTAACTACCATGCAGGTTAAGCATGTTCAGGGTGTCTAGAGGTGTCTAGCTTAATTTATTCTTAGAATAGAAATGTCGCTAAGCTGTTGTACGACGCTGCTTATTGACTCAAAAAGTCAAGTCAGGTCAGGTCAGTCAGGTTTTCAGACTTCTAATATAGTCGGGCTCATGTCAAATGGGTGGAGCTGAGAGTAGCTGACAAATCACAGGCTATGATCCTGAAAACAAGATTTATTATTCTATAGAGTTTTTTGTTTTATTCTGCTTGATTCAGCATATCCTTTCTTCCACATAGTCCAAGAAAACCAAACATTTGAAACTAGTTAGTCGTGTGTTTAACGTGTATTTAAACAAATATAATTTAATTTAATTTTTAATATTTGATTCACTTAAAAAATCAATATCCTCTGTGAATTACAAGTTCAAGAAATCCTTGGTATTTTTATATTTCAGAAATAATAATATTTGAACAATAAAGGTTTAGTTTTGAGTTGTTTTTAGTTCATATCTTTCAAAACTCAATAGGAACAGGTTTTGGAGTAATCAGTCCCTACATTAGCATTTCCTTTTAGCGGATCTCTGAAAAAGACGTTCCTGGGTGACAGCCAAACTGTATAGTTGGTCTCTGACTCCAGTCACATTCAGGGAGAGAGATACTGTCTCACTTACAACATACTGATGTCTATCTCTTCACTCTCCAAGAAAAGCGATTGGTCAAGAGGCTGCAATTTTACATGCCTCCATCCCTTATCTAAGAATCTAACCTGTTCTGGAGCAGGTTAAGTTTCTAGCACAAGATGCCAAATTTGATACACTCCTGCAAGAAATGATAAGAAGTGAACTGCATTGCGATAGTGAAGTTTAGTCAGTTTCCTGATCCAAAGCATTAAGGTCTGGGTTAACACAATGCCTAGGAGGAAGTACATCAGCATTGATCTTTGAGAAATAGCTGTTGCCGCCCATCAGTCTTGGAAGAACAAAATGGCTGCTCCAAAAACTTTTGCGGCCTGTTTTTCCACAGAGGAAAAGAACATTCAGAAGTGGAAGCCATTCAAGACAGTTACTAGTTTGAAACAGTAGACATCTGAGAAAGTTACCGACTTCAGATTGTTTAATTCTCAGAGTTACTGAAACAAAACAACAACTCAGGATTCGACCGCTGTTCTCATCAACTGTGGTTGTTTGGGGTCACTGCCCTGCATGTTTTATATGTTTCCCTGCTCCTAAACAATTAAGATAAGTAAATTAACTTTTCCAGAATCTAAAACTTGACCACAATGTAGTCATGTGACCAAATTATATCATCAAAACAAAAATAAATACTCAAATCCAGTGCTGATTGAAGAGGTTCAAAAAGCTAAGTTGCAGCCACAGAAATAGTGACGTGCTTCACATGAAAATGGGTCATTCCGTGCATTTTTCTTAAAATGTGTTCTTTTTGTTTTACAGTCTGCACAGCCTTCAGAATCTCCGTCCTCATCAAGCTGCAACAAAAAGAGACCAAAATCTAAATAAGCCTGTCGTCTCCTTCCTCACTAAACAAGTTCTGTGAAAATGCTTCCCTGTGCTCTTCTGCGCTCCTTTGCCTCAATATAGGCAAAGGAGTATAATAACATATAATAATGTTAATGATATTTCAGTTTAACAGGTAGTCAAGTTTGTGATTCTATATTTTGAATAATAACTAAGATTATTTCATTTGTACAAAATAATTGTGCTACATTCTTTATGTGTTTTCGGGGGTCTTTCAAATAAATGGCATCCTGTATTAAAAAAAAACAACTTCCTGTTTAAGAGAGCGATACTTTATAAGCTGCTTAATAGTTCAGCATTTAGCAAGACCATACTGTCAAAAATAGAGTTTATGAGTACATTCATGTCTCCTGGGGTACTTTTGACAGGTAGACGAATGTTTCAAAGCAGAAAATGGACAAACTTAATTGATACAACAATTTTTGAAAATACCAAACCTGTGACAAGTCTTGGATACGTAAAGGTACAATTAAGCGCTCTCTTTTCTGAGAGTGGAGTGCCTTAGTTTTGAAGTAATTTGGAGGAAGCCAAAGCATCCTGCAAAACATAATTGCAAGCTTTTTTCTCTGTCGGAGCACCTGCATCTCTGACGACAAAATCATCTGAGGTAGTCTGGAGAGTGTAGTTCAGGAGAATACTCACTGAGCATCTCCTCGGTACATCCAGCAGTTTCCTGAAAACCCACCCAGACAAGCAGAGCGGGAGTCAGACGACTGAAAGAAAACAGTGTAATCATTGTCAGGGAGGCCTTTCATCAAGCCAAAACTGGGGACAGGGTATGTCTCTTTGCTAGATATTCAATGAGCACCTGTTGTGTCAAGGGAGCCAAGGCACAGACTAAAGCCTTGAATTTTAAAAACATGTAGTAAAGTGGATCATGCCTGAAAGTGAGACATCTGAGTACACTGAAAATGTATCTTTGATTAAAATAAAAAAAAGACTGTAGAAAATAGATTGTGTGATCTAAAAATATATATGAAAGACTATTTGAACATATTTATTTGTATGTCTGAATACAAACTGTTACAATTGTATCTTTTTAGCACTGTTTTTCTTACGCATGCCCAGTAAGGATCGTTCCTGTTAAACATTAACCGAGGCGTCATTCCAAGCCAACAGATGGCGCAGGCGCTGTGGGAGCTGGCGGTTTTCTCATTGTTTCACTTGTAGAAGAAGTTGTTTGTCAGTCGCCCAATCTCCCCACTAGACCTCAGTAAGGTGTCGCTCCCTGGCCACCGCCGTCAGACGCGGCAAGTCTGCACAGAACTCACCCTCCCTGCGCCAGGTACGGTGACCAAACTCCCCCCCACCCCCCCTCCCTGGTGTTACTACCGGCTGTGTTCGGCTATGGCGACGAGCGCGAAGCGAAAGCAGGAGGAGACTCACCTAAAGATGCTCCGTGAAATGACTAGCCTGCCCGCGAATAGGAAATGCTTCGACTGCGACCAACGCGGCCCGACGTATGTCAACATGACAGTGGGTTCCTTCGTCTGTACCACCTGCTCCGGTATCTTGTGAGTGTCATTTTGAGTTGAAGTCTAACAGTTCGCCTTTTAATTGTCCTGCAGACAGCACGCGACGCCGCGCTTGTAATGAGGACCTGCGAGGTCGGACCGTTAGCTCGTTAGCTAGTGTTAAAGTCAGGACAGGTAACGTTGACACAAACTCAGGTTCAGCCGGAGGACGTTCGCATGGGCTTGGTTGTGTAGGGAGATTGGGATGTTTACAGCTGCTCTTGGGAATGATGAGATTAGCTTTTTTGTGCATAGTGTAGGCTCAATGGGAGACTGTCGTAACGCCTGATGGGTCAAGGTTAGCATATCTGAAACCTAAAGTTAAGAACTATTAACTGTTAGATATGTGATGACTGCATGTAAAAAAACAACAACCAGAAGGTCACATGGGAGGCTCCTCTTGTAGCTGAACTGAAAACACTCCCAGTACAGGGCAAACACACCTCTAAATTAAGGATGGTCAAAAGTAGGTTGCCAGTTGCTTCTTCTTGTTGTACTGACTTTCTCATACACCCACTCGTGTTTTATGCAGATAACCGGTCTAGGCAATGTGTCAAGCATGTCTGCTCATCCTCCAGTAAGTCCCAGCAGTGTTCCTCAAGGGGATGTGCTGCAAACTGTTTTCAGGCGGGTGTGCTGACCCTGTACAGTTTGTGCATCTTTTAAGGTGTCATTGTTAAATGGTAGTGTACCTGCAAAGTCAGTATGTGGAGAGATTTCAAGGGTATACCATTGTACGAAGAATAAAAAATATGATACCACCCGCTTCTTTTGCACTCCCCATGTCAGTGCTGACTCATATTTCCCTTTAAAGTCGTTTCTGAATTATGGAAATGCAGTAAAACGTTACGATCCTGGTATCGTTCCTTTATCAGAAACCATAATGATGTTAGTATCTCTAGTGTCCACGGCCTCCGAGTTTGATTGACACAACTGATTTACAACATTTTTTCTATTATCATCAATAAACCTTTTAAAAAATAAATAATTTAAGGATTCCAAATGAAATGGTGTTACTCAGGTTATTTTTTTGGAGCCTTTCACTGAGAAAATCTTTTGTTATATATTTCTTTGGTCACATCTTCAGAAAATCCCAGTGATAGTCCAGTGTTACAGGTGAACAGTATTGTTTTTTGCATGGGGGGGATTATAAAGGGCTATTAGTTAAAAGTGTAATATATGTTGGTGTTGTGTGCCCTGAAAAATAAATTGAGGAAATAGGAGAAGTGGAAGCCAAAGAATCGCTGGTAACATAAACAGTATATAGAGCAATTGACCTGTATCTCAAATTTATGTTGCAAAAACTCTTCCACATGGCCTAAAAAAAACATCTGGACTTCAGTTTATCCATATACTTTGCCTCATGAGAAGGTCTTCATGGAACAGTGAATGTTCAAGAAGCCATTCTTGCCAAACTACATATAAAACTTGGCTGAAAATCAGGCAACAGGTCTTAAGGATTCTTTAGGTCTTTAGGGTGCAGCTACATATACACAAACATAATAACACAAAGAGGTGGAAAAAAGATGGAGCCAAGAAGCAGGTCTTGCGTTTCTGGGCCCATTTGTTCCAAGTTGAGGGAAGATATCAAATCATGACCTGGATGTGTTAGCCTGGTGTTTAGGTGCCTATCAAAGAACAGTTTAGGCTACAAACATGGCCTCTTCTGGTCAGGCTAACTCCATAAATCTTTTTTTTTTCTTGTGTTGTGTAAATGTGCTTAGCGCGGGATCAGCTTGACAGAAAAAAGCAGAAAAAGAAAGTTGACATCCAAGGGTGAGCTTTTGGATGTCCTCCAAGAAGCCTGGAGAACTATACCCCAAGACTACTTAAAGAAATGACAGAAAGTTTGTCTGAGATCAGGCTGTGCTGGAGAATAAAGGTGCACAGACCAAATATTGACTTGTAAGCTTATCAGAATTGTAGTGACTTTGTTTTGGCTCAATATCCTGTGTTTTCCCTTATGTTTGCACATGAAGTAGACATTTGTGTAGAACTTTCAGCTTATTTGGAACACATACAAAGTTTTTTGTGCTGTGTAATTAAACAGTAATTTTGTTTGTTTTTTTCTTCATAAAATACTTTTTAAACGTAAAAAGTGTCTGAAAAGACATCTTTCATGGCTTTAAAGCCATTTTTGTTTGTTTTTCTGAATGATTGATGCATCAATAAATGTAAAAAGTTCTCACTAATGCGCTCTAATTTTAGTTTTCTAATTTCTATTTATACTTGTTCCGTTTTATTTTATTTGAGCATATTACCAAAATGTATTTGTACGTATTAATGTTCATGTATTAACAGCATCAAATATTTCTGTACGAGCACAGCTTTGATTGTAAATAACGCTCACACCAAGACTGTGGTCCATGTTCCTAAAACATGCTGAATTGGCAGTGAATGTTCCCTTCTGGTTGGTCGACAGGGATAAAATAGTTTGTTGTGAAAAGAGCATTAGCGGTTTTGGTTTTTATTTGCTTGTTTTATTTGATGGGAACAGCCTGGGGATGCATCCTGCTTCTCTTGTTCTCAGCTAACATTTACCTCCTACACCCACAGGCGAGGGCTGAATCCCCCACACAGAGTGAAGTCCATCTCTATGACCACATTTACACAGCAGGAAATAGAGTTCCTACAGAAACACAGCAATGAGGTACCGTACACATTCTCTGAAAAAAAAAAAGTTCAAAATCATCCACGTTGTTGCTTTCAGAGTTCAGGCCATGTTTTTTTGAGCTCTGCTTAGTCAACCTATTGACATTCCTTTCTCCTTGCTTCTTTTTTTCTTCCCCTTATCCCTTCCCCCCTCACCCTTCACTCTCACGCCTGTCCTGTCTACACTCCAACCCCCACCTCCATCCTCCCACTCTCCTCATTCCTGTGCCCCCCCGTAGATCTGTAAACACATCTGGTTGGGCCTTTATGACGACAGGACATCAGTCGTTCCAGATTTCCGAGAACCGCAGAGAGTAAAAGAGTTCCTTCAGGAAAAATACGAGAAGAAAAGATGGTAACATGAGCCAAAAATGTATTCCTTCCTACTTTAAGATTTAAGTGGAATGTTTCCGTTAAAAGAGCCTATAGATTAAATGAATTAAATTTGAGTTGAACCGGAAAGAGATTTAAAAAAAAATTTAAACATTTTTTTACTTGTTTTCATCCCAAATTCCCGATGTCAACCAGCAACGTTGCCTTGTTCAGATCAACTGTGTTGAGATAGAGTGCTGAAAGTTAAGTGTCACCTGCCTTTGCCAAAATCAGTTTGGCTGCTGTGTACTGGGTTAACCCTATGATTCACTTTGACAGCCTGGTTTTTATTGTCCATGTGTCTTCTCTTTTGTTTTTTTGTGATAGGAATGTAAGACACTTAAACGGCTCTATTAAAGAAGAAACGTTTTTTGGGTTGGATTTATGCATTCTGAATACTGTTTTTGTATGTGTTGATACTCCCTTTTTGAATACGCAGGTATGTTCCTCCAGACCAGGCCAGGGCAGTTTCGAGCGTCCAGGCCTCTGTGTCCGGCTCCTCAGCGAGCAGCACCGGCAGCACCCCTGAAGTCCAACCCCTCAAAACTCTGCAGCTCAACAAGACACCGCTGCGGCAGGTGGAATTGTCTCTAAATGTCACTTCAATCTGCCTTTTTTTTCTCCGTTTGGATATTAAGGTGGATAAATAGTTTTTTTTATTCCTTTTTCTTCTCCTACCACTCAGTCTCCAGGACTAGGTCGCTCCCAGGCTCACAGTGCCGCTCTGGAGAAAAAGTTTGACTTGCTCTCGGACCTGGGGGGAGATATTTTTGCAGCTCCACCAACTCAAACTGCCAGCTCTGCCAACTTTGCCAATTTTGCACATTTTCCAAGCCAGTCGGGTAAGACGGCAAAAATATTTCTCCAGTATTCTGTGGCCGACGCATAACAGATATTCAACAGAACATGCTCTTTCATTCTTCATAATCCCACCATGTGTTTCCCCTGCCATTGTTTTTATTTCCACATTTCTTTTCTGTTTCGCTTCTTTTCCCCCTGTATGATTGCAGCACCTCAGGGTAATTCAAATACCAACTTTGCCAACTTTGAAGCATTTGGAAACACTGCAATTCCATCCCACCTGAGCACATCACCTCCCTCAAAGTCCTTTTCATCAGGTACCACCCTCCTTACTGTCTTTCCTCCATCACCACCCCACCCACTCATCTTTTTGTTAATTTCGTATCAGTGGTTTCCTAGTGTGGTCCTTCTGTCTCTCCAGCATCACTCAGTGGATGTTCTGAGTACAGCTGTCGATTTCTAAGATTTGCTCCTAGCAAAACAAGCACTTTATGCAAAACCTTGTAGCCATTTAAAACATGTTGTAAACACTAGCGCTTGTCTTTTTTTGGATTGAGAGGATTTCTGGAATATTCCACAAGGTCCATAGGGGAGATAGATACCAAGTCAGCAATTTACCCAAAAATGTTTTTCTGGTTGTTTGGACCTGTCTGGGTGTGTTTGTAGCACTTGATGATTTTGTAACGATATGTTTTGAAAAGGGGGAGGAGTGCCAATTCCATCAATGTCCAGTGCAGTTGCTGCTCAGAGAGGGAGCCGTACAGAGGACCGCTATGCTGCCCTTGCTGAGTTAGATAATGAGCTCAGCTCCTCTGCTTCCTCAGGCAGCAATGTGCCAGGGTGAGAGACAGAGACACACACTCACACACACGCAAAGACACACACAGAGGCCCTCTACAACGGGTAAAGTCTGACAGACCCTCCCACTGCAAGTCAGTGAAATTCTGTTCAGTTTTATTTCTAGCAGAAAATCACAACTGTCATCTCAAGACAGTTCAAAGAGGCAGTCTAATTTAGACTAGTTAGAATCCAATTATTTCTGATGCAGTCATAATCCAGTCAAATCCAATGAATTCCTGTTCAGTCCAAGCCACACAAAGCCAGTTTAAAAAAAAAAAAGTAATTAAAAAGAAATTTCTTAGCTCTGGACACCAACAGAGCGTGCACAAGCCAACTCTCTTACCTCTCAGCTTTGGAAAGAGCTGAGATGAGGAAAAAGGAAAGACAACATTCACCAAACACCATGACACAAGCTCAAAGATACCTGCTGAGGCTTTGAAACAAATGTTAATGACGAGGAAAATGTCATGAACACGTAGAGAAAAGAGAACACAGGAAAGAGAGATGCATCATGGGAGGGTCCCCAAGTAGTCTAGGGCTATAGCTTAATACATTTTCAGGATAACCACGGACATCTCTAACTATTAGGCTCTATCAAAAGGAAAATTTGAAGCTTAATCTTAAAGGTAGAGAGGCCGTCTTCTTCCTGAACAGAAAAGGCCTTCAATAGTGAAGGCTTCGCCCGCCATTCTAATTTAAGAAACTCCAGCAACCACAAGTAGACTGACAAGAAAAGGCTCTCTTGAGATAATATTACGTTATATCGTAATATTATCGTAATTATATAATTTGAATCTGGTGAACAGAGTTTCAAATTCTATTCTGGGGCTGGTGGCTTTTTAGAGAAATTCAGGACAAAGAAGGAAAAAAAATTGCAAATGAAATTAAAATGGCATGCATGAGTGTTTTTTTTGTTTGTTTGTTAGTTAGTTTTTTTTTCTTCTTCTCTCTGAGACAAAATGTTAATTTAATGTATTGATACATCACATGGTAAAATCTGTAACTTTTAGCAGTGATGTTTCTGTGCTATGCTGTGCTCTGAACTGGGACTGAATCTCTATCTGTGTTAAAGAGCCCAAAGTTTGGTTTTCAAGGATTGTTTTTTTCCTGCAAAACAATGTAAAACAGATAATACATCACAACTTGAACTAATTCAGAATTGAGTTTGATAACATCCCTCCTCGGCTATAGCTGCAGAGATAATGTCTGTTGTACAGGTGCAATATTACATACCATTTCCATTCCTCCTGAAAAACATTTTGTGGCATCCTTTTCTTCACAGGAATATCTTTGGACCTGTTCTTGGTTCGTCGCCAGCTCAGAACCCACCTGTGTTACCCAGCATTCAGCCTGGCTTTGGAGGTGGCTATAAGCCTCACAGTGTTATTTGGAAAAATAATATATATTTAGGCACATGGCTACTTTTGACTCGAAGACTCACTTTCCGACTTTATTCCATCTAGCCGTTCCATCCACAAATCCTTTTGTTGCCGCAGCGATAGCCCCGGACATGGCCACCAACCCTTTCCAGACCAACGGGCGAGGTCCAGTTGCAGGTAGATTTATGCTGCAAAGTATTTGTACAGTTACTCCTGCACTTTATCTGCGTAACTTTAATGTAACCCTGCTACATTGCCAGATAGTTCTGTGACTTTATGTCAAAGTATGTAGAATTGACTCTGTATGTGTGTGTGTGTGTGTTGTGTTCATCCACTGTGCACACATGCTGCGTGTGTCTCGTAGCATCCTTTGGTACTGGCTCTATGAGCATGCCCGCCGGCTTTGGGAATGCGTCTTCCTACTGCCTCCCGACCAGTTTCAGTGGAAACTTCCAGCAGCAATTCCCCGGCCAGGCACCCATCCCTTACTCTCAACCCGGGGCCTATCACCCTCAGTCTAATGGTTAGTCCCCACCCCATCCCCGTCCTCCATCCTCCTACCTTGTTACTCCTGTGCAGTAGCTGCCAATGGGTTATGGCTTTTAAATTCAGTCAGTGTTTTTCTATCTACACAGATGGACCCCTATATTAAGGGCATAGTCTAAGCCTTCTCTGGTGTAACTTGTCAGTGGCGGCTACTGCACAGTGACAAAAGGTTGCATTTAGGGGTCAAAGCTTTGGGGTTATGCTCTGGTCCAAATGCACAATAAGAAGTGTCTATTGTAAATTGAAAACTCCGACATGACTCATTCAGTTCTGTTCACCCCTAAGTACAATCTGACATGCTGGAATTTGGCTGTTTTGCTGTTGTTGTTTTTTGTTTTACCCCTTCTATACTTGACACAAAGTTAACTATCAGTTATTTTAACTGTTTTAAACTGAATGCTTATCTTTGACTCTTTAGGGAGCAACAATGTAGTTTTTCCATTGGAAAAAACAAAGAAGCACTAAGTGTGGGGCCGGGCAGACTAAACCTGTTGTAAATTCCTTTCCCTCCTTCACCTCCAGGTCCTGCATTCCCAGTCTACGCTCAGAACAAGCCCACTATTACACCATTCGGGCAGCCTATGGCTGTACCTGGCATGACCAATAATCCATTCATGGTGAGCATTTATTCAGTTCTTTTTTTATTTTTATTAAATGATGTTGGAAGAAGCTTGTTTCGCTGGAAATTTTTAAGAGAATTCACTACATATCCTCCAACGTCATGTAGCTTCCACATTATTTAACTGAACATTTTGGAAGGTTAAACTTTGATTTTTGTCATAAATTGTTGGGCTAAATGTACACAATAGTTGGTGCATATGTCTCAGGAGGTCTGAACGTGCTAATCCTTACTTGGCGAACAGCAGTGATGCTTTTGTTGTTGCTGGTGTGTGAAATTTCGTCTTGCACATCCTCTTTTCCAGGCTGGAGCGCCGGCAGGGTCGTTCCCTTCAGGAGGCTCATCCACCAACCCTTTCCTGTAGCACAGTTTCTGGGCTTTGCCACCAGAGGACAGCATGCAGCACACACTCAACGCACTTGTTCCGTCATGCAACTAGTGGCAGTACATTTCTTAAAAAAAAAAAAAAGACTTGTTTTCTTTTCTCTCTTTTTTCATAAAAGAAGTTTACAACACTAAGAAGGTGTACAAAGGAGTATATTGAAGACTAAGGGACTGTTATGAGGGAAATGTACTGTTTGGACTATAAACAAAACATTGAATGCTTTTTTTTTTTGTTAAAACTGTAAGCTCTCTGCATATCAACATTTATGATCACAAGTAAGTATGTTTAGTGTATGACAAAGACTGAATTAACAAGGGCGAATGTGCACACACCTTGTATTTAAAAGAGTAAAGGAAACTAACACTACAAACTGTCTACATTAGGCAAGGGTTTACATTTTTAAGATTATTAACAGGGTTCCATCCAAATCCACAGCCCGTGGTGGGTGTTTCATTTTTCAAAAGGGATTTGTTTTTGTCCTATTTTAGTCTTAATGCTACTATATCAGCTCTAATGAATTGTTTATTAACACACAGACCCTGTTGGCTATAATCCAAAGCAACGCCTTTTTCATGTAGTTGAACATACTGAGCAGGTTGATGTGACATTGGATTGTTCTCAGGCTATTAGTCAACGATTTATATATTGCCAGAATATATAAAATTGTGTGTGTCAGGTTCAAATTTAAACCAAGTACAGCTAAAAATAACTACATTGCCAGCAGAGACATTTATTATTCCAATAAATAGAGGGGCAAGCATGTCTCTTAGAGCTCAAATGGTGGAAATGTGAGAAAGAACAGGTATTTAGAGGTATTTCTTAGTCTTGTTACTTACATAATTGATACATCATTGGTAAAATTGTTTAGTATATTCAAGTAACCTTATTTCTGCTAGATGTCAGAAAAGCATATTTAAGATATTCACTATATTTTATGAGGACAAATGGATGGAGAGACTGTTAATGAAAGCAAAGGCTAGTTAACCTATTGACCTTAGAAGTAGTGGTTCACATGGTTGGGGTTGGCTTGTCCTTTTAAAGCTAAGAAAAAATCAAAACAGAGAAACAAAATATCTGAGTTATGTTATTGTCCCTTGACATCTTATTCTCTTTGCTGTGTTTTTTAAAGCTTCCCAGAAGGCCAGACAATGGAAATTCATTGCATCTTGGTTGGTTTAACATAAGGCATAAGATAATGAACATTAATTATAGGGATAAAACAAATTACTGAGTCAACCTGACTTCAGAGAACTTGGGTCTCAGTTGTGCCACCCGTGACTAACAATAAGTTTGACTATGTGTCCCTTGTTTTTACAAGAACAGGGGAGTGTATGTGTACATATATAAATACATGTATAAATAAATTAAAAGATTTTTAACTAAAAGTTTGTGTAACAATCATTTCTTGATAATGCCGTTTTAGTAAAGTTTGTCTTCCTATTTAAAAGAATGTTGTGTGTATCTATAAGGAAATAAATATATATATTATTTTCATCGTACTAGCTGAGAGGGCATGTGACTCAATTGAAGATGTTGCTATGACAACATACACACTGATATGGCGTCCCTTTTAGGCGACCCGTGGTTTGAAATCTCTGGACGTGGTCCTCCGCCTGACAACAACTATTATCACTTTTCTGTCAACAAGGCAGAAGTGAGTATCATTAACTTGAATAGAAGTGAATGTTAAAGTGAGATGTCTTGAGTCATTTCGCTAAGCTAACTCGGAAATGAACATTTATTGAACCTCAGCCTCCCTTGCTCCGACCGTTAATAACAGAACATGTAACAAAGGCTGAAACAAAGGCACAAATTCATAGCGAGTTGAGTACCGGTTATGTGTTCTCTTCATGTCTGTCGCTTATAAACACAGGTCGAAAATATGTGTATTTAAAGATGAAAAAAGAAAGAAAAAAACAAGCAGTGATTCAACATGACAGGGGTAATACCTCCTCCTCAGGTGATTTGGAGATGGTGGAAGATTTCTCCCCGACTAGTAGACAGGTACTCCAAGCCTGGGGAGCAGAAGGAGTCTCATCTCGACTTCTTGGATGACACTTGGTTACAAAGTAAGAATTTCTGTATTGGAGGTTAATAGCTGCTTGTTGACACAATTTTAAAAACATTTGTCTTTTATTTGTAGTTAGGAAGGAAATACAAGTGCTCCTCCTGTAATTAGACTATCATGAAAGACTGATTGATTTCAGTAATTCTATTTGAAAAGTGAAACCTGAATATTATATTCCATCATTACCCATCCATCCATCCATCCATCCATCCATCCATTATCAATACCGCTTATTCCCTCATGGGGTCGCGGGGGGAACTGGAGCCTATCTCAGTGGTCAACGGGCGAGAGGCAGGGTACAGCCTGGACAGTTCCATCATTACCCACAGACTGATATTTTTAAAATGTTTATTTCCTTTAATGTTGATGATCAGAACAGACAATTAATGAAAACCTGAAATTTGATGTCCCAGACAGTTATAATGTTGTGAACAGGGTCAATATTGAAGACACCTAGTGCCACACAGGCTAATCAACTCAAAGCACCTGCAAAGGCCTTTAAATGGTCTCTCAGTCGAGTTTCTGTAGGTTAGGCAATTGTGGGGAAGGCTGCTGACTTGACAGTTGTCCAAAAGACGGCCCCTGACACCTTGCACAAGGTTGGCGAGACAGAAAAGGTCATTGCTAAAGAGGCTGACTGTTCACAGAGGTCCGTGTCTTAAGCACGTAAATAGAGAGGCAAATGGAAGGGAAAGATGTGGTACAAAATGTGTACAAGCAAAAGGGATAACCACACCCTGGAGAGGATTGTGGAACAAAACCAGTTTAGAATTTTAGGGGATATTCACCAGGAGTGGACTGCAGCTGGAGTCAGTGCTTCAACAACCACCACTCATGCAAGACATGGGTTATAGCTATCGGAAGAGACAGAAGCGTCTTGCCTCTTGACTAAAGACTGGACTGCTTTGGAGTGGTCCAAGGATTGGACTGCTTTGGAGTGGTCCAAAGTCATGTTCTCGAAGGAAAGTGAATGCATTTCCTTTGGAAATCAAGGTCCCAGAGTCTGGAGGACGAGGGAAGAGGCACAGAATCCACGTTGAGTGAGGTCCAGAGAAAGGTTTCACAGTCGGTGATGGTTTGGAATGCCAATTTCTTCTGCTGTTGTTGGTCCACTGTGTTTTCTGAGATCCAGGGTTAGAGCACTTCATGCCTCCTGCTGCTTACCAACTGTATGGAGAAGCAGATTTGGACCTGGCAGCATCTTACAGTGCCAAAGCTGCCAGTACCATAGTATCCCTGTTCTCAATTGGCCAGCAAACTCGCCTGACCTTAACCCCAAAGAAAACAGATAAAGTATTGTGAAGAGGAAGATGGATACGCCCGAGCCAACAATTCAGAAGAGCTGAAGACCACCATAAAAGTAACCTGGGCTCTCTTAACTGACTGATCGACTCCATGCCACCCCGCATTGCTGCTGTAATTCAGGCAAAAGTAGCCCCAGTTAAGTATTGAGTGCTGTACATGCTCATACTTTTCATGTTCATACTTTTGGACAACATTTCTAAAAATCCCTTTTTTGGTTTAAATCTTAAATAAGGTAAGATTCTAATTTTCGGAGATACTGAATTTGGGCATTTCATTAGTTGTCAGTTACAACCGTCAACATTAAAAGAAATAAACATTTGAAATATATCATTCTGTTTTTAATGAATGAATTTGATAAACAAGTTTAACTTTTTACGAGGAATTACTGAAATGAATCAACTTTCGAGTGATATTCTAAGTCTATGACCAGCACCTGACCTGTAGTCTCACTGTTTTTAATGGTGATTCATCTTAACCTTAACCCTAAACCAAACCGAGGGTTTCTCCTGTGTGAAGTGTGTGAGGCTTTGTCATTGGCTTTAATAACGATAACAAACAAAAAATGGGCATCTTTTCAGGTGAACTCGCCGTGGTTTTCGGTCAGAAGGCCTTACAGTACACTAAAGCTTTGTGCCAAGGCCATTTTGACTATCTGGAGCGCTTGTCTGACTCTTTGCTTCTGCGGATCATAAATTATCTGGAGCTGGAAGATGTGGATCAGCTTGGAAGAACATCGCATAGGTTCAAGCAGGTGTGTTCCATGGTTTAAAAAATATCAAAAATGAATTATTAAATATTAAGGTTTTAAATTCCTGTCACTGATTATTAGTTTTTCTTATTTAAGTTTTTTTTCCTGCTTAAATGATTTAGCTATGTTAGCGAGGCAGGTGGTTTAATCTCCTGTGTTTTGTGTCGTGGTCCTTAAATGTTGGAGTTGTTTTGCTTTTCAGCTGTGTGGGTCAGAGGAGTTCTGGGAGCAAGCGGTGCACCGGCACTGCAAGACGGTTTCAGCCGAGGTGGCATCCCTGGCATCAGAGGTTGGCTGGCGCCGCATTTTTTTCACCAACAAGTTACATCTGCAGAAGCTGCTCAGCCGCCGGAGGCTGAGGGCCGAGGAGCAACAGGAGGAGTCCATCTTCGACCCAGATCCGCAGGCAGGGGAATCTGCAAACGGCAGCTCAGAGACAAGCCCCGTGCTGGCCTCTGAGAGGGACTGGCACCATCTCGGGGTTGGCCGGGACGCTGGCTTTGACTCCGACTCCTACTGTCATGTTGATCCTGATCCACAGGCTGAATCTGATCCTGACCCTGATCCACAAGCTGGCTCAGAGTCCATCGACTTGCCTGACCAGTTCATGGAGGGCCTGAAGTTCTGTGAGCTAGAAACGGTAACGCAGAGCAGCACCCTGAGCAGCGGTGTGGGAGACTGTAGTGATGAGTTAGCCAAGAACGTGGCTTAAGCCTGTCATCAAATGTTCCAATGCATTCCTGTTCAATCTTTAACTTTCTTGATCTGTAATTAGTTTGTTTTATGACTTCCTCTCATTTTCTTATGTACTGTTGTTTTTGCTCGATTTAACTTTTAATTTGCCAAATTTTATTAGCGCATCTATTGTGCTGTGACTTTATTGACCACTTAAATGTTGATCCTTTTAACTGTTCATTGTAATGTTCAAAACTGTTCGTTGTCTGAATAAATATGAATATATACACTACGAACCTCGCTTGTTTGGCTAATGTTGACTATTTGTGAATAAAAACGAAGTATTGGATTGTTGATCTTTCAAAAGGTCACAAAGGAAAGAAAGTTTAATGGTCTCGTGAAAGGATAGAGCCATAATCATTCAAACTGGACATGTACTCCAATATTTTTTCACAAGCTTTGATTTGATCTGATTTATCTAATTTGATGTTACAGTTAGTCATGGCGGTGCAGTTGAAAAGGCTCTTGAGAGAGTTCAGTATTAGCATAACGACTTTCACACGCAGATTGGATAACACTTGTATCATGATTACTAAACGAGGATAGACCTTTTTAGAAAATCAAAGTTGTGGGTGTTGTATAAGACCTCTTTGTAAAGAAATCCCATCCAAATGTTGGTGCGAAGACACTGACTTTATTCCCTGTGTTTGATAAGTGGATTACATCATGATCTGGTTCATTTGAAAACACAGGAAATGTTTGTGAGTTTTGATGGGATGATGACTGCAGTGCACTCAGAAAGAGTCCCCTAGGGGGCACAAGCTGCCAGAGCTAATCGTCCATGCCGTCCTTCAGCATCTGACATCATCCTCATCCCTTCTTTGTCGGGGTTTACCTTATGTTGAAGTGCCTGAGCAGGATTTGTCAGTTTCCCTGCGACTGAAAACACATTGAAAAGACAAACACTCGCAAAACAAAAGCCAAATATTAGCAACATCCAGAAAAGCTGTCGGTTGCTACAAAGGAAAAGGACCATCTACGTTTATTGACTGCCCAAAGTTCAAATGCCAGCGTCTGAGATGGTTAGTTCCCATAAGTAACCTGCACATGTGTGAGGGTGCCAATGATTCTATAAGCTTAAGCAACATCTGCTACCACTCAAACAGGGATTTCCCCAACATGGCACTTACCTTCCAGCAAGATAATGCTAAGCGTAAGAATTCCTTAACAAAGTAGTGTCCTAAGTTCCCTAAATGCTGAATTAAAAACAGAGATATGGAAATAAACAAGAACAAGAGAAACACAATTAATTTGATTTGTTTTTTTTTTAAAATTAAACTGAAAATGGGTTGAAAGAGATTTGCAAATCACCCTAATTTTTTATTTATTTACGTTTCACACAATGTTCCAAGTAATTGGAATTAAGATGCCCAGTAAAATGTCACACTTTAAACATTTGATGCTCTTGTTCTCTTGTGAAATGAAATGGCGCCTCATGAGATTTGCAAATTGCCGGTTTCAGTCACCATGAAAAATGACACGCACACAAGTTTGAACTAAAAATTTGAAGTCGTCACTAGGGTTTAACATCCAGATTCATGGAAATGATGGTAAAACCCCATCACAAATTGTAAAAATATTCCATATGTTTAAGTTATACAGTACATTCTTGATGATATCTGCATATTATGTCATTAAACATACATTATCCTCACCTAAAATGAATCAAAACCCTAAATCACATTGCACTTATGTAAATATTATACCAGAGCATTCAAGAGATGGTATTCTATTCCTTTGATTTATGATTTTATTTTATTTTCTATATTCTAACCTAGCCTCTATTCTAACCCTGTTCTTTCCATTGGTCCAAGATAAATATCAATTGCCTCTGGAAAGGTTGGAAGAGGCCATAAGAGGATTTAGTCTGACAACGCAAAGGCTGCATAACAAACCATGTGGTTCACAGGTGTAAAATGCTCCCCTTATCTTGACCTTTGCTAACCTCATTGCCTGGGCAGGGCTAATAGTCCAGAGTTTAAAGGAGCAAACTTGCTCAAATTTGAAATATTCAAACCACACAAGCTCGACCTATGTGTGAAGAACAGAAAAGGAGTAGTAGTAATATTTCATATTTACAAGTACATGGCTTAATATTCTTTACTAGTTTATCACCTGTATATATATATATATATATATTTATATATATTCTGATAGCTCTCATTTAGAAGGCACATGATTTGAATGAATATATTAATGGGTGATTGGTCCTCCATGACCATTTGACAGATTAGTAGAGCTTGTCCGTAAAGATAATGTCAGCCCTTTCGAGTGATCTGTTAGCTCTCAGCTTACCCCTTTCAGCCCTCCATGACCCGGACAGATGAAACTTACGACCTCATTCTTCAGCCATTCGGGTGGCTTAAGTGCTTCACTGACACTATGATCCATTTACATCTCAACTTTTGATATCGTCTCATGAATAACAGCGCAGCAGTATTTTGGCCAGCAAGAAAAAAGAACTAGGCCCGGTTTGTCATTATGCTGTGTAATCATTTTTTTTTTTCAAAAAAAAAGAAAAAGAAAATGATGTTCCACAGTGATAACAAATTTAATGATTCTTTTTAATAAGTAGAACTTTCTCTATTTGGTGAATTTTTACATTTTTTTTATTTTTAATTATTGCCGTTTGTAGGTCAGAAGTTCCAAGATTTTGAGCTTGGGGGATGGCAAAGCAAATCCCTTGATCTTCTGCAGAGCAGTGACAGCTTGAGACTATTTGAGAAAGGATTAGCTTATATTATCCAAGGTTTATCGTACTAAATTAGCCCACACATCGTTATAGCTGGATTCAGGTGTTACTGTTGAGAACAAAAAGGGAAAGAAAATGCCAATTCATCGCATCCCTCGCCACGTTACCATTAAGATTAGTAAAGTTCTATGTTTGAACACAAACTGATACGAAAACGTGATAAATAAATGCGAACTGTATCACGATTTTTTCACCATGTGATAGGTGATCTATACCAAATTGAAGAAAAAGTTTAAACAGTACAGTAATTTCTTATATAGTGATAAAATTAGATTGCAAAATGGTTATTATAAAGCATTTATTGTGTTTAGCATGGAGATATTGGGTCCCTCATTCAGTCATATGATTGAAGACTTACTCTTAAGGTTCTTTATAAATCAACCAATAATCAGCGAGTGCTGCCAACTTGTTCCAATCCTTTTCGTATTGATTCCTATTTTTATTTTACAGCTGGCAAAAGAAAAAAAAAATCAAAGTCTTATATGTGTGAAGCAAAGCTGATAACGTCTCCTTCTATTTCCCTCAATCTCGATGATTCCCTGATTAAATTAAAGAAAAAATCTACCGTTTTGTAATCATTGTACTGCAGCAAATATGAAACCTCAAGAAAATGTTTAATATTCAAAACACATTCACTGCATTCTTGTTGATGTATCGCTGGTCTACTCATAAGGAATTCAGGGTGGCTTGTGATGTACGAGTTCTAAACACAAGCTGCCAAATGGAAGGAATGTGCAAATCATCTTACATCAACATGTCTCCAAATGTGTGAGTTAATCATAAATAATGCCAACGTGTTGGTTTTTACAAACATGGACTGGTTTTTGGTAATAGGTGGTGACAGTTTTTAGTTTAAAGTAGATGTTTTTAGCATGCTCAAAGCAGTTTTGGCGATCAAGTGGTAATGATTGATGAATGAGAGTAAATAATGAGAATGAGAAAGTGTGAAGGGGGATAAAGCAGCAGACAGATTAGGAGTAAGCTCCCTGAGGTACCTGATTTAGGACTTGAGGGGAGGAGGCGATGCAGGGGGTATTGTGTCACATCTTGACTGCCTTAGTGGGGCTCGTTAATTAAATTCCCCCATGGCTAAAATAATCATTTTTATTTTCAAGGCAAATGCTACAGAGTTTATGTAAACATTTGACGCCTAACTCAGCTTTTTCAGGATGCACATTGCAGGTACTTCCAACTGCAAAAACCACTCCAAGTTAAAAAAAAAAAAAGTTAACTTTTTTTTTTAGAGGCATTTAGATATTAAATGCATAGTCAACAGAACCAGATGAAGCTGTGCTCAACTGTTGAAAATCAGAGGAGCAAATATAGCGGGCCTCAAAGCCTCTTACGACAGAGCCCGCTTACGATTCCCTTTCTGTGCACAGCATCCTCGAATAGACCACACAAAGATCCTTAAGTCAAAATCCCTCCCAGGTATTTAATTCTAAATGAGTAATTACTGGGTGTGTCAGTGTGTCTTAGGTTTGCAGGTAGCCTGAGTGAAGGAGCTCATTTGCACACTGGCTTTGGTGGAAATTGCAGTCTCCCTCAGATACAGGCAACCTGAAACCAAGAAAGTACCGTTGGGAAGCTGCTGAAGAACCCAGTCTCATAGGGGGAAAGGACCACATAAAGCTGCCAAGATGTGTGACATGGGGGGACTGGATAACCTGGTGGCCAACACGGCCTACCTGAAAGCCCAAGGGGGCGACGATAAGGAGATGAAAAAGCGGCGTCGCAGCTTGTCTCTTCCCAAGCCGGAGCAATGCGCTTCAGCCAGAGGCTCCATCGAAAAGGACTTCACATTGATTTGTGAAAGGCAGCCCATAGGGAAAAAGTTTTTCCGTGAGTTCCTGGCGAACAATCCCGAGTTCAAGCTTGCAGCTGAGTTCTTGGACGAGTTGTACGACTGGGATCTGGCCGAAGGCGCAGCCAAAGACAAGGCACGCCAGAACATCATGAACAAGTACTGCAAACCTGACTCCAAGACCTACCTGTCCTTCCTTACTGGGGAGCCTGCGGAGAAATGCAAATCCATCACAGATGCAAACTTTGAAGAGGTGATGAAAAGCAAGGTCCAAGAGGGTGTACGAGAATTTCTGAAAAACAAACCTTTTACAGATTACCAGGCCAGCCCATTCTTTGATAAATTTCTCCAATGGAAAGAGTATGAGAAACAGCCCATCAGCGATAAATACTTCTATGAGTTCCGAACTCTGGGAAAAGGAGGCTTTGGAGAGGTAAGATTGAAATCCAAATACATTTTTGATCATCCCCTACCCCAAAGTAGAGTTTTCCGATGATTTATCTTTCGAAGCTGATTCAGTAGTTGGATTCTCCCCAGATTCCAAAGACATAAAGTTATTATATTGAGTGAATGTGGCATTTGAGCAATTATAGGAGAACCCTCTCCACTCAAATGCATTTGCTTTTGGTTGTGATAAATCCTGTTTTAAACATCAGGATTTACCTTTACCCAAGGAGACAGTAAAGCTACAATGTCTCAGATTATCCTCGTGCATCAGCCACTTGTGTTTTCAAAAGCAAATTTCGATGTAAAGAAATGCAGACATTTTTGTTCATGGGGACAGAAGGAAAAAAACCCGGAAATGATAATAGGAACACCAGAGTGGTAATTGAATACTGTTCCTGTCATGGCTTTGGAATTAGATGCCCTCTCAGGATTCCACTGACCCCCCTGGAAGCTTTGCACGATGCGAGGGTCTTAGCACGAGCTTCGGTAGCCAAAAATTAAGTAAGATGGATAACTACATCTGTTTGGAAAACGGTGCTGCGTTGTTGTTTAATGCAGACTCTTACTGTTATTTTCTCTTATCAATGTCTGCAGTGAGTGATCTTTTAACAACGAGTCAGCTTAACATTTCCATAGTATCTGCAAATTTCTCGCTTCTCTGGAAAAAGGGCTATGTCTACAGAGAAGCAGTGAAATGAAAAAGTGAGCCTCGGTCAAAGATGTGAGTGAGACCGGTGGTTAATTGAATGCTAAGGCACAGCTGGCAAGAGTCAGGCTGGGTTGACCTCTTGGTCCAATTTATTCCCAAGTTGTAGTTGGGATTTTATGCTCAGGTCAGAAAAAAAGCTTCCAGGAATCCACCTCATTAAAAATAATTCACGTGGATGTGGTCAGACACACTACGAAACGGAAGCGGAAACCTATCCTCTGAAGAGAAATCATGCGATTTTGTCGAGTTAAACCCAAAACTGCGTAGTTTCCCAATAGATACTGCGCAGCCTGGAGATCCGATGGATTGAAAGGAATCAAGAAATATGGGTTCTTTAAACTTTTATGATCTGTTTCCCCGTTCCAGGTGTGCGCCGTTCAGGTGAAGAACACAGGTCAGATGTACGCCTGCAAGAAGTTGTGTAAAAAGCGGCTGAAGAAAAAGGGAGGTGAGAAGATGGCCCTGTTGGAGAAGCAGATCTTGGAGAAGGTCAACAGCCTGTTCCTGGTCAACTTGGCCTACGCTTATGACACCAAGACTCACCTGTGCCTTGTCATGACCCTGATGAATGGAGGAGATCTCAAGTACCACATCTACAACATCGGCTATGATGGCAAGGGTGTGGACAAGGGCATCGAGATGAAACGCATCATCCACTACACGGCCCAGATCACCACCGGCATTCTCCATCTGCACGACATGGATATTATATATCGTGATATGAAGCCCGAGAACGTGTTGCTCGACAGCTTTGGCCAGTGTCGACTTTCAGACTTGGGTTTGGCCATTGAGCTTGCTCCTGGGAAGACAGTCACTCAGATGGTGAGTAGATGGACCCCAACAGAAGCAGACAGAAAAAAAAAAAAGACATAGGGAACATCAGGTTTTGGCTCCAGTAAGCTTCAGAAAGTCTGGTAGCATCTATCTCTCAGCATGTACTGAGAGATAGATGATGTCAGGATTGGTTATGGAGATGTTTCTTTGAGGCTTTACACCAGGAAAAAAAAAATCTCTGCTGTTCTTGAATTTTGAAGTAAGAAAAAATCCAAAGGAGACTAAAAAGGTTTCTCTGTACCTGCTATTTGTAATCCTCAACTGATATACAAATAAACCAGGATAGCTGGTTGTTGGATGACAATATCATTTGAAGACAAGGTTGACTTGATCTCAGGTTATAGGCATACTGTCACCTTCTGGTAGGGTTTTCACTTTAAATCCGGACAGAGATTACTGCTTTGTTTAAAGATCTTTGCAATGAATCCATTATATAACCCATTTGATCCTTTGGCAGTCAGATTACAGCTGAGCCATTTATAGGCCACCATTCGCACCAGGGATATGTCAGAGACCTTGGAGAAGCAGCATTTGTTAAAGGAGCAATTGCTAATGTTCACTAGGTTTCCTTGCAAGAACACCTAAAGAAATATTTAGTTTATTCTTTTTGCCAGAAGGGTCACTTGAGACCAGTTCGATGTGTTAATTCTTTGTCCCTTGCAAAAAAGTGATACACATATCATCTGGCCACTCTGGTTTGAGAAATACAAATAAAGAATAAATTGTTTTTAAAAATTATATATTTGCTTTTGAGAGGGATCACCAATTACTAATAGGTTACAATTAAAAGTTCAATGATGTCATCGTATTCAAACTGTGCAGGTTACATATTGCAGAATATAAACAATCTAAGAATCCCCTGGTGTTTCTGTTTTAAATAACATTTTGTGCTGTCTCTCATGATAGCATTATTACACCTCAATTCGAACAAAGTCATGCCCCAGATAAAAAAGATGAAGATGTTTCACAGTTCCTTCAGAACTTACTTGCACGAGCAAAGAGGCAAAGAGTAAGCTCTCGGCTCTATGCAAGTCCAATAAGCTCATTATCCAGCGCTCCGATGCTCCTCAGCCAGCCAAAGTGACGGGGCTAGCCTCCCACAGGCAGGGCTGGCTTTGTTCCCGTAATCCTCTTAGTGGGCATTACACAAGTCTGTCCCTGATTAAATCTACAGACCCAGGTAAAACTTACACCGAATATGTTTACACATGATAGTTTGCAAGGAAACGTTGGCCCGTAAGACAAACATAGGTGATTTCTGCCAGCTGGTCGTTGAGGGGAAGAAGTCTTCAGAGTTAGAAAAAACAAACATATTTGCCTGCCAGACACAACCGTGTCTCAGTGGGAACTCATTTCTAGGTAAAGGACAACTCTAAAGGCACACGAGATGTGTTCTGTGAGCCCAATCACCCTTGAAAAAGAATTAGATCACAGGCTACACTTTGGCTCGTGGAGGCTGTGATTTTCAGGCGTAGATCTCACAGCTGACACGAGTACTACTCTGTGTACAGTCTGCTTACTTCATGCAAAGAATGGATATTTATAGTTTTGAGGAATAGATTGGGATATGCATTCTGTTGTCCTAGTGGCAGCTGCATGCTGCATTGCATGCAGACTTGGCCAGGCCTTATATAAGGAGCTGGACCACTTTGTGAGTAAGCAGACGCATACAACTCTTGACAGGTACCGGGCTTAGCATTAGGATTAAGCTCCTGGTTTGAGGTTGCAGGTGGGGTTACGCAGGGAGAGGGAGGAAGAAAGTAGAGAAAGATGGAAGAGAGCCTGACAAAGAAAGATTAAATTAAAATGAAGAAAATGCAGACTTGTATGATATTTTTGGCTCCCTGCTTCATTTGATGAGTTAGATTGCTCTCCGCCCAAGAATTTAATAAAGTGCTTCATTTTATTCAATCTGCTCTCCCCCTCTGACGATTAGGCCGGTACAGGAGCTTACATGGCCCCTGAGATTCTGACCAGAACTCCCTACCGGACATCAGTGGACTGGTGGGCCCTGGGCTGCAGTATCTATGAGATGGTGGCTGGCTACACACCTTTCAAAGGGCCCGAGAGCAAAAAAGAAAAGGTGGAGAAGGAGGAGGTGCAGCGCCGCATTCAGAACGAGGAGCCAAAGTGGGAGCACAAGTGCTTCGATACTCCCACCAAAGAAGTCATCCAGCTCTTCCTCAAGAAAAAAATCGAAGAGCGCCTGGGCATGAGGTAAAAAGGATCTTTTCCATGGCTTCTGGGGGCCACTTTGGTCTGATTGTGCCATTATGAATCTCTTCTTTTTTTCACCCCCCACCCTTTGCACAGGAACAACATGGAAGATCCCAGGAAACACGAGTGGTTCAAGACCATCAACTTTCCCCGTCTGGAGGCAGGGCTGGTGGACCCTCCCTGGGTCCCCAAACCCAACGTGGTCTACGCCAAGGACACCGGCGACATCGCCGAGTTCTCCGAGATCAAGGGCATCGAGTTTGACGCCAAGGACGATAAATTCTTTAAGGAGTTCAGCACAGGCGCCGTGCCCATTCCATGGCAGCAGGAGATGATTGACACTGGACTGTTCGATGAGCTCAATGATCCCAACAGAAAAGAGGGGGGCGGAGGCGGGGACGACGAGAAGAAGTCTGGCACGTGTACAGTGCTGTGACCGGGCACTTGCTTGGCATGACGCAGCAGATTCCATTCGATGATTTGTTTCTCTCAGTCTCACGAATGGCAACATTGATGTAAAAAAAAAAAGATAGAAGAAGAAGTGGATCATGTTTCGTGAGAGGAGAGCACGAGCGCTTTTGTGAGGATGCTCAGGGCTTAGAGATCAGCTGCTCTTAAGGCAGCGTCAGTAAAAATATGAAAGATGTGGTGATGTATTTTACACATCATTCCTGATTCACAGGTTCTCTTGAAGACACGCATATCTAATGTTGTAGACTTGCAACCATACCGACCAAAAAATGCTTTCTAGGAGTACATTTTTTTTCCATTAAAGAAATTAGTGTTAGGAGAGTGTGCTTAAGGCCTTTGTGCCAGAAATGCTGTATTATTTTAATGAAAAAATAACTAACTAAAATATGAAAACAGTATTTGGAGGATTACAAGCAGAGGCAACTTTATATTCAGAATTACATTTTGAACAAAAATTCTAAAAACAGATTCAAAAGTGGAATGATACTCTTAAAACAGGTCAGTTTTAGTGAACTATGAATTCGTAGCCCTACAATAACATTTACTGATGCGGTGAAGAGGCCAGGTTCTTTTCAACCACATTTGTATCCTAAATGAAGATTTACATCCAGGCGGTTGTCTGTACAATCAACAGTTTAGTTTTATAAGAATTATTAAAGCAATTGTAAGTATTGTAAATAAAAAAATATATCTATATGTGTGCACAAAGCAAGAAAAAAAAAAGTAATATCTAAGATTTAGGCATATTTTACCAAAAAAGTAAGCATACGGGCTGACTCCCCAAAGAGTCTCTCAGCAGTTGGTGCTCTGAGGCCCAACATAAATGGAGACTGAGGCCCTGGGATGTTGTTGGTGAGATGACAGCAGAAATAGCAGCTCACTGCTGCACAAGACAGAAGAAAATTTTGAGGAGTTGGGCAATAAATTCCTGCACCAGGAATTCTCTGTCCATGGCCCTGAAACACTGTGACAATTCAGGGCTTTTTTCTTAGTTTGAGATACATGTGAATAACTCAAACTAGCCAGATAATGGAAAACGGTCCACTATTTGGGTGAATGAGTTTAGATACTTGGGATAGGTAAAAAAAAACAAAAAAACTCCATGTTATTCTTGTTTACTTGTCTCAGGGTAACTATATACTTGAGTTTTTAAAAAAGACAGATCATGGAGTTTTTACAGGTAATGTCTTTATCAAATAAATGTATGATCATGTACTTGTAAATAAAATGAGAGGAAAACTTTAGAATCGTCAGATGTAAGTCAGATATTTCCTTGAACCTTGAACCACTTGAAAAAATTAAAATATATATGTCTTTTAACATTTGTGTTGTTTGTCATCTCTCATTTTTTCACCATCGTCAGAGAACACACTTTGTGCCACTTTACTCATGTTCCTAAACTATATATAGACACAGAGATGGCACTGCTGAGAACCTTAGAGTAAAACCTAAGAATATCAATTACATTAATCCTTCTCTGGATGCTGACTACTGCCTTACTCCAGGCCACCGCAAATTAGTGAGTTCAACTCTTAGCTGAAAAGGTGATAATCAGCATTGCACTCCTGTCATCTTCGCTTAAATCAGCTTTAAATCCCCTCAGGCTCTGAAGTTCTCCTGTCAATCTGCAGATTGAGGCATGAAAAGCTACATTTTGACTTTTGATTTTCCTCATTTGGCTGGAGTGGGAATGCATTTCATTGTTTTGTCCTGGAAACTTTGCATGATGACAGTATTTGAGAGAACATCTTTGTGAAAGGAAGTGGAAAACCTCTACTTTTAAAATCATAGATGTTAAGATTTCTTCAAGTATGCTAATTCTGTCTCCTACTCTCACCTGTTGACAACGCTCAAACTAGAGGACAGTCAGAGCTTAAAAGACATTAAGATGGATTCTTGCCTCAGCTAAAGCCCAGGAGATAATCTCACATTTAGGACTCGCCGTTCACAGTGAAGGACAAAGCCGCTGCCTTAGGGCCGCGCAGATCAGGACAGATGGGGCTGCATGAAAATTAGAGCGAAGGGGTGTGATCAGACTTTCCTCACAACTGAACTCATGTTTTCCGACCTCAAATGCCAATTAAAGGTCCAACCATTCACAGAGCTGAGCCTTCAGAATAATTATAAATGGCAAAACAGTTTGCAGGGTATGCAATAGTTTGTCCTCCTGACGTTCATACAGCCAGGTGGATGTTCTCTCTCCAGTGCTTTCGTGCATAAACATTATTAATCGTGATAGAAATAAAAATATGAGTGTGTACAGTACACTACGAGGTTGCCTTCTTAGTATCACGTGACAGTCACAGCCTCCCTAAGCACCAAGGCCAAGCAGCACCCATGTTTGAGCCACACTTTCACCAACAGCATCACGTTTCCGGCTCCCTCTTGTGGCAACTGACTTGTGCTTCATTGCAAGTAAGCGGCCTACTTTGCCATCTTACAACAGTCTGGGTGTGAGGAACTATGCCGAACAAGTAACATCACCTTTCCTATGAATCAGATGCTATTCACAAGGGATGGAATGGAATGGTCAGAAGAAACTAGCCTCTCGGATCTCTTAATCATATCCATTAATATCCATTTAAATAATCTCATTGTCCTTCCAATGATCCTTAGCTAATACAGTTCAATAGATCAAACAGACAAACGTTTTGACACTACCATCATCGTCCCTAACACGTACAGCCTATTTGCGCAAAAAAAATGGAACACGATCCGCCCCAGCCTACTTTTACCCGACCGTAGATACGATTTTGTAATTGCATCAGAAGATTCTTGAAGCTTTATTGGGTTGCTGGTACAACGAGCACTGTTGGAAGTTTCACTGCACGACCAAAATAGGATGCTTTATGGGATGAATTTTGATAATAAATATAGAATCGGACAAATATTTAGAAACATCAAAAAGAAAAACCTTTTCTTCAAAATCACTTTTATTTCACAATTTATTTAATCAGGTCTTAAGGCACCCAGAAGAGATGTTACAAGTTGTTCTTTCAAATGTGGGTTGCTTTTAAGACTGTGTAAACATAGCTTTGAATAAGATAATTTCCTGTAAATCTTTGCTTAAATTATTTCTTTACAGTGCACAGACATTGTGTATTGTGACAAAAATACAGTGTGAATTAAGTAAATATGATATATATATATAGATATATATATATATCTATATATCTATATATATATATAGATATATATATGTGTGTGCGTGTGTGTATATATATATGTATATATGTACATATATACGTATATATGTGTATATATATACATATATAATGTACATTGAAGAGTAATAGATTGGCAGACAATCAGAACAGGCTGAAGAAGAGAGAAAACTAACAAACAATCTTTGAGACTCAGATAAATATACAGTTCACGCTATGATATACCGTACATAGTTACAGATATCTTTTTATTTTCGCTAAGCTTCTCCAGCGCCCCTCTGCCATGAAAGCAATTTTTATACACCGTACCTTCTGTGAGTGTGTGTCACCTTGGCCGCCTTTAAAGCGCAGCGAGGCAACTTGACGAGCCCTGGAGGGCTCGCCCACATGTTGGCTATTGCAGTCGGGAGGTGGGTAGACAGGAAGACGGACAAACAGACAGACATGCAGACCGACAGACAGACAGCACAAGACTCGGTTGTGGCTCCACAGGCCACAACACTAAGATCTATCTATAATTCTTTAAATATGGTAAGGTTCACAAAGTATTTATAGTCGAAGGGGGACTTTGTAATTGGCATTTCATATACAGGGATACAGTGGCTATACTTGATTATCGAGATATGTTCCTCTATGAAGTCTTTGTGATGTGTGATGAGAATACTCTGGAGATGTCCTACTTTCTCAACTCTACTACACAGAAAGATAAAAACCCCTTGCAGCACCAGTAATAATACTGTCCCTCATACGGTTTGAGAGATGAAAACAACACACTCATCCTAAAAGCAGAATTTTTTACGAAACAAAAAAAAAGAAAAAAAGATTAAATAAAAGTACCAGCAATTACACAAACAGCTCCAAACAGCTTGGCTGAAATGGCTATAAGTTATCAAATCACGTCAATACTAAAACAGACAAACAAACAAAAATAATGATATAGCAATTATAACAATAATAACTGAGTAAAGAATAAACAGTGCAACAGGTGAACGTTAGGGAGGATAGGTCAGGGACTAAGCCTGTATTTTGTTCTAGGGATCTTAAAGGGGGTCGAGGAATCACGAGGGAAAGAAGGGTCAAAATGTCACCAAAGCAATGTCTGAAATCCACGTTTAACTGGTTTCTCTCCTATTGCAAGCCTACCGTGACCCCTTCTGCTCGACATTGTGTTCGCCCGCCTTTGTGACTTACTTGACACTTCCCTCCGCAAATTTTTAAAAACGTTAAAAACAGAAAAACCTCAGCAAATGTGGGCAGCGTTATCTGGTTTTCCTATTGCTGGCAGCTTCGCTGTTTACTCCATAACCTTGATCCTGAAGGTGACGCGGCCCAGGAACTTGTCCCTCTCGTCGTTGTTGCGGAGGTCGGAGCCCTCCACCCGGCACTCCACCGACAGCTCCTTGTTGTAGTCCTCCTTGGTGAGCAGGAGCTTCACGGCCACCAGGGGCTGCACGTAATTCTCCTGCATCGGAGGGGGATGAATCGGCCGTCCGTCAGTAATGCACAGATGTGAGCGGATGTAATCTGACCGCCGACGAATACTCACATGAGCCTTCCTGCCATAGTAGGGGAAATACATTTTATCAATGCGCCCCTCACTGGGGAAATAATGCATTTGGACTGGGTTGTCTCTCTGCAGAAAAAAAAGAATACATGTTAGTGTAAATCTAACATCTGCTGAGTCGCTTTTCATCTTGATTTAGTAGCAAAATGGACATATTTGCAAGACAACGTGGCACAGGACGTGAATAAGGATAAAAAACAAAACAACCCTCTGAAATTAGTGTGGAGATTTAAATGAAATGTGAAACAAGATGTGGTTTTTTTAAGTGACATTTCTTGAAGAAAAAAACCAAACACACAATTCGACTAAAAATAAACCTTAAATGCCGCTAGAGCAGGTTTAGAGGCACCTGCGTTATGATCAGTTACATAACAGAAATGTGTTAAGACTCCTACTGGCCTTATCCTGGTAATTTACATATTCTTCTTACCCTAAAGACGTCAGTGACAGCATGCAGAAAGATATGAGACACACACAAAAAACAAAACAAAACAAAAAGAAGGGAAAAATGAAAGCAGGATCAACAGAAAGGATTTTTTGTTAAACTGCTGTACTGTCAGTGTTTTTTTTATTTTTTTTTATGAAAGAAACAAAAAGACAAGAATAAACATACAAGCTAGTAGCATATATGTCAACACAGAATTTGTCTGATTTTTACTTTTACTGTGCAGTTGATGTATGGATCCCCGTTCGGCTTCAGCCCGATGATCTGTGAAGGTTACAAATGTTTTTTCAAAGTCCGTTCTAATCTTCTAAACATCACAGCTGAGCTTGAACGTGAGAGGGAGAGGTGGGCGTTACCCTGTTCATTTTCAGAAGCACGCAGGGTTTGCCTTCATGATATCCAAAGGTGGTGTCGGAGAGGCCAGAGCAGAGGCTCAGCGAGGCCCTCTTGAAGCGACAGGCTTTCTTGTTCATGTCCTCATTATCGTCCTGCATGTAATACTCTCCTGGAATGCAGTCCTTGTTGTTCTCCTGCTGAGAGTCATTATATCCTGACAGAAACAGACAATATGTAAAAGACATACCCAGATGTTTGGATGAGTCTCCAAAAAAAAAAGAAAAGGTCTTAGGGTGAAGTGTATTTACTTTGAAGAAAGGTCTCCAGGTGTTTGACATACTCTCCGTACACCACGGGGTCTGATTTGTTATATACAATGTCCAGCGTATTAGGGCGGATCACCAATCCTATAAACAAAAGACACCATAGTCAACACAAAGATGGAGACGATCCCAGAAAGAGAAACTAATCCGCGTCTATTGGAATTTGTCTTGCGTTGCTGTCGGGAAGAGAGCATTCAGTAAGCCATCACGCAGGAAGAGACTTCCAAACAGATCAATACAGAGAGCGGCTGTAATGTTGCACATTATTAGGACAAAATCCCAGCATGAATAATGAATGTTTGAAATGGGAAGCGGGTAGAAGTGTCATTCTTTCTGTGTGTTGTGACGCGGGCGGGGACGAACCTGGGTTGGGAACGCGGTCTCTGTACCTCGGCACGTAGTCATCCAGGGTGAGCAGCAGCACCCACATGGTCAGGGCGAACATACCGGCCAGAAAGCAGTAGAAAACCAAGTAGAAGAGCAGGATGAGGGCTGGGCCGAGTCGAGTGCACGCCCGGAGCGGGAAAAAAAGAAAGAGAAATGTGAACATGAGCCACAGTCTTTAATCAAATAATGGCTTAGGACACTGGGATTTGAGTGTACTATTCCTTTGAGAGAAACCATTTTGAATCGAGGGTGAAATGCTACCCACTGCTAATTGAGGTGAGGCAGCATTTCCACACTTTTAAAATCAGATATGAGAGCATTCAGTGATCGGAGTTGCTGTGCTCTCTGACGCCAGCCCCACTCAGGGCAGTGGGGGGGTTGTGTGTGGGGGGGGGATGCATTTAAAAGGTAACATCTGACAAAATGGTTCACCACCGTCCTGCACTACATAGATGCCCTCCAAACCGACAAGAAAAAAAAAACCCTCAGCCTCCTGCTGCACACCCCCTCCCCATCCTCTCATTCCTCTCCGACAGTATCCCACAATGCACCTGTCCAGCGCGTGAAAGAAAAAGGGAAAGAACCGAGAGGGGAATCCCATTTGACCTTGACAGGCATGCTAATGTGGGCAGCCATACAACTGCAATGGAGCATCCCACTGCACAGCGGCACGGGGGGCCCCGGCAGCACCGACAGCCCCCCCGACAGCCAGCCCACAGGACCCGGCTGCATCGGAGGAGGGGGGGCTTGCTGGAAAGAAATCACTACATGCTAAAACGCACAAGCTGATAAGCCAAAAAATATCAGTTTGGGGGATGCATGGGCACGCTCCATTGTACTGATTAGCTCAAACCTGCCCCTGTGGATGAGATTGGCTTAATAAACCACATTCATGCATGTCATATCACCCCAATTCTCCTCCTGACTGGAGTGGGTATTCACCTGCTGGGGCTATTTCTGCCAATGCAGCAAAAAAAAAGGAAAAAAAACAGGAGGCAGGAGCACACCTTTAAGAAGCATCACTGGTCCTGCAGAGCCTCTAGATGCAGGCTTTTCTCCTTTACACCTTGATGTAGGCCCTGAGATGGCTCCCCCCAGCTCATTCCTCGTTCTGAATGACATGTCATCTCAATGCATCCATGCAGTGATTTACAAAAAGAGGCCGCACACGCATCCGATACGGGGTGTCTATGAGCGCCTTGGTTATAATAAAAATAGAAAGGATGGGACGCAGGATCAACCCCCCCTCCCCCCTCCTCTTTGCAAATGTCTCCGCATCCGCCTGTCGTACGACGGTGGTCCTTACCCCAGCTGCTGGCCGTGCGCCCCAGCACCTCCCCGGTCCTCGGGTTGTAGAAGGAGTCCTTCCAGCTGGAAGCGTTCTCCTTGTTGGTCGGTTTGTCCTCGGTGCTCGCCATGGTGATGAGGAGCTGGGGATTTTAGGGGGGGTCAGCGCAGGGGCTTATTTTTTTTTTTGGTTCCGAAACGGGTGACGGCCGTCCTGACTGGGGAAAAACGAATGTGAAATAAAAAGCAATGAAATGCAGGAAAAAAAGCGAGCGCGGTGCGCGATGCAATGGGGCGAATAAGCCGGTGGGGAGGCGATTGAGCGCCTGCTCGGATCAATGGCCGGGGAGGAGTGGGCGGTGTTGAAAGAGGGAGAGAGCGGATGGAGAGGGAGAGAGAAAGAAAAAGGAAGAGGGGGGGGGGGGGGGGCGTTGGGAGAGAGAAGAGAGAGAGAGAGAGATGCTCCGGTGAAACAAGAAGAAGAAGAAGCGGAAAAAAAGAGAAACGCAAGATGGGGAAAGTGAAGAGAGATAGAGATGCACAGAGAAAGAGGGAGAGAGAGAAGGATAGAAAAGGGAAAATCTGTGACGTCCACACCGGCCCCAGCGTGGCAGCTGATGCGCAGAGGCCAGATCCGTTCAGATTGGCTGCTGACTTGGAGACGCACCTTTACGCGCCTTTACGCGCAGAAATTATAAATAGAGCGAAAATGATCGTGTCTGACAAAAGAAATATAAATAAAAATAGAAAAAGATTCTCAAATGGCCGCAGGCCCGTGGAATCTCAGCAAAGAATCCAAGCGTTTGTGTCACCAAGAGCTCACCCACCCGTCGTATTTTTGTGGTTTGGCACCCTGACTTATTGTAGATAAAGCTCGTCTGCATTCAAGTGAGTCTCTAAGCCAGCATGCAATCATATAGGATCTGGTAGGATTGGCAAAGACTCACAGATAAACACTCAAAAGGTCGCTCTGCTAACACACTTGACTCTTTCTTTGGAGAGATTATTTGAAAAAAAAAAAAACCCAAAAAACGTTCTATATTTGAAGCCGCTGGGGGATATTAATTGTGAACCTACTGGTAACATAGATTTTTGGGGCCCCTTGCCAATTCCTTGTTGCTATGGCAATTGAGCTCTTCTGAAACTTGTGTGTATGTGTGTGTGTTTCAGAGAATGTGTGCTTGAGAGAGAGGGCCTGTATGCAGAGTGCAGATTTCTACACAGATGTGTCAAAGTTAAGGAGGATTGGCTTTTGATCGGAGTCGAGGGGTGAACAAACATTTCCTCCCATGCATTTGCAGGTCTGCTTCTTTGGAGCACGGCTGGGAAGCAGGTAACCGGAGAGAAGGAAAGAGCCGGATGCCCCATCAGAAGGGGGGGGGGGGGGGCGAATTGTAGATGAGGGGCGGAAAATATGTCAAAAGCCCAACTTCCAGCAAACATTCCCAGTGTGTCACAGAGAAAGAGAGAAAACAGAAGAGGGAGTTATATAATGACCAGGGTTCAGCTCATATGGGGGGAGGGGGGTAGGGGGGGGGGCTGGAGTGGTGGTCGCACTGCATTCACTTCCTGCTGTCGGTTTGAATTTGTTGGAAGGACTTGGCCCTCCACGGCTCACACAATGCAGCACTACGCACAATCCTTCACACACACACACACACACATACACACATTTTGCGGATGAAGTGTGAGAGCAGCCGGCACTGATTCATAGGCGACTCCCGTCTGTCTCACACACTCCGGCACATTTTTCCCTGTGAAGGCATTCCACGGCAGGCAAAGAAAAAAAAAAAAAAAGAGGCTCATGTTCAAGTGAGGAAGTCCAGATGGACAGCCGGCCCTGCGGAAGTTTTCTGTTGGGTGAGGGGTTAGGCAGAGGAAAGGCACAGTTTGGGCCTGCGCGACGTACACCAAAACTGAGTTGTGTTCTTCCACCGAGGGGGGACAGACACACAATCCTCCCATTGTTTAGGGAAGCCCCCTTCAGTGCACTCAATTAGCGCCCCCTTCGCCATACCAGCGCCGCGAGCGGGAATACACACCCCGTTTTGTTCTCGGTCACTCCATTCGTGAGCTGCCATAGCAACCCCTCGCCAGCGAGGCCTGGGCCGCATCAATGCGCCTGGATCTCCCGACACATGTGACAAGTCTGTGTGAGGTGAACACTTCATGCAAACAGCTGCTCCGGCAGAGCGTCAGAGACACCTGCGTGCACACGAGGACACTCAGACACTCAGAGACTCACATCCCAGCAGCCCACAGCCGACGGTTCCCCTTTTTATTGACAGTTTGTTCACAGCATACAGTGTACCTGAAGCCTCTGGGGAAACGAATAATCACACAAATGTTAGGTTAATTTCCCCCCACTAGTTTGGGATAACACGTGGCATTCTAAAACAGAATGAACTTCAAGTATTAGAAAAGTCTTGCGCGCCCCGACCTGAAGCGCAGTGCGAATGCAATGTGGTCATTTCGCCGTGGCCGACAATGTAAGAGGACCCGAGCGAAGGCCCGGCGAAAGGCACGGTCCAGAGAGTTTCCCTGTCTGTGTTTCTGAAGTCATTCGTGCCACGTGGGTGCGGGCACACGTCTTTACAGAACAATCAAGAGTTTTTTCGGAATGTCATCAAAGTTCATGAGGTCAGACGAAACAGAAACATCATATGACACCAACGTGGCTGCTTCTTGTGGGAAAATTCAGCAGTGAAATAGGAACGACAAGGACTAACAATGAAACTAAAACAGAATTGGTAAATTCTTACTTATTGTGTTCCTCACTCTTTACAATTAACACTTTCAATCCGTCACAATTATTTTTTATACGCTTTCCAGTTGACTGCTGTTGGACACGTGCCCTTACCAAGAAACCAAAAGCATTTCCAACAATGTCAGATGGCATTGATGTAAATGAAAGGATACCCCCCCCCACAAGTTCACATTTTGTCAAAAGCAATCAGGATGCAGGCTCATCATTTTTTAAAATCTAAAATATTAGTCTTGAATGGTCCATTTTTCTTAATGTGGTCTTAATGTCTCCAGTGTGAATCTCACAAAAAATGTCAGCCTGTCTCCTTAACACTTTGGCACATGGTTGCTATGGAAATACAAAGGAATAATGACAAAAGAATAGCGCCCCCCTGTGGAAAAATGTAAAACTGCATATCAGCTGTAAAGAAAAGCCTGGAAATAAAATAATTAGTATGTCAGTTCATGTCAGAAGTGGGTGGTTTTATGTAACAGCTGTTCTATGTGCAGTCATTTAGGGTCTCAATCATTTGATCCAGTTATCAAGAACTCTGTCATCAGGGCCGGATACATTATTCGAACCAGTTAAAATACAAAACAGACTGCACATTCCTGAGTGATACTAACTGCTGGTGAATCGAGTCACCGTCATCAGAAGATTGTGGCGTGTCTTTGAGGGTGTGGACCGGCATTCAGTTCCTCCAAAGCCGCATCTGGTTGGCTGTTTAAACCGGTTTAAACATTTGTTTCCTCTTTGTCCAAAGCCTGGCCCTTCCTATGTGGTGTGACCGGGGTCAGCGTTTATACCAGTTCATGGAGCGCCGAAGGGCTCTCTCCCAGCTCTGGAGGACGGGGATGTACTCCCAGCTGGGGCCAACGGCCCCCTCCGTCGCTGCCCTCCGGGGCAAGAACTCCTTGTCTGTGCTCTGCAGCTTTTTCAGCTCTTCCTGGGTTTTCCAGAAGCCTGCAGAGACATTGAAGGACTGATTGACACATCCACAGCTCAGTTTAGGTGAGCCACTTGTCCCTCCTGCAGCACTTTTATTTGGGAACGTTTTTCCTGTTCGTCTGGCCCTCATTTTAACTGTCAGTGCACATATCACTTTTTTTTTTTGCAAGAAAGTAACTTATGACAATGGATTTCAGCTTAATTTTTGTAACAGATCAACACTGTGGAGAGATTTACTGCCCTCCGGAGTCATTAAGGACAAAAACGTCCACTTCCATAAACTGCAATAGGTTAATATCCTTTCAGTTTTTTTGGAGGGGTTAAATCTGTTAACAGACTTCCGTCCCGTTCGAAATGATCAAATAACTGTCAAGATGAGACAAATCATTGAATTTTATAACCCATTTTATAACCCCAATTTTATAACGCCTATTGAAACCACAATTTATAAACCTGACATTTTTACAGAATATAATCATGCATGTTTGGATGTTAGGATTGAATCGTAGGATTTAAAAATAATTAAATTCATTATTGTTCAGCTCAAAAAATCTTTTTGCAAAATTTCATTAATACACACACTTATTATTTAATCAGTTTTTGTGCTTTTTAAGTTAGATGTAAATTGGATGCAACTTTTTAAATAATAATGGATGAAAGTATTACTGGATTTTGAAAAACGAAAAAAGATTTAGTATAATCCAGGGCATATACATAGATTAATTAAAAAGAAAATTAATTTATCCACAAAAGATGATGGTTTTTATTTTCTCCAACTTCATTTGAACGATACTTCAAATACTTCATACGTTTTGTATGTGAGCGTATCTACGTACCCACTCCGAGTCCAGCAACAAAAGCAGCCCCAAGACAAGACATCTCCTGGTGTTGGGGTCTGATCACTTTTCTGCCAAACAGGTCTGCGGTCAGCTGGATGATGAAGTCGTTGGAGGATACACCACCATCCACACTGGCAAGAAAAATGCTCGGTTAAACTTGAAGTCAATTTTCAAAAATGGTGCCGTCCAACTCCATCAATGTTATCAGATATTCTTTCGTGAGCGAAGTGGGAGAAAAATCAGGCACCTGATTTTTGTGATGGGAATGTTTGTCTCTCTTAGCATCGTCTCGTACAGCTGCTTGTTTCTTAAGAGATAAATACGGGGTTAGAGGAATGACGGAATATGAAACGGAAAAATCTGTGTTTCTAAGTGGTTTACCTGAAGGCGACCGACTCAAGAATGGCCCGGACCAGATGGTTTTTGGTGGTGGAAGGTTTGAGGCCCATGAAGGAAGCACAGGCTTTTGGATCATTCAGAGGAGCCTTGAATGAAGTGCACACGCAAACACGTCAGGAATCTCAACAGGGGCTCAGTAGTTTTAAAAAAACATTAACAAACGGTTAACACAGGGTTGCAACAAAGAGGAGCTTCGCTGAACTGACAGCAGACGGCTGCTTGGTGACTGTGTACACCCTTTTATATGGTCACAGGAAAACTGAATGTGTAGAAAAAACACTTACAGGGGTCCGTTCGCAGGGGAGGGCAAAGGGGAAAAAGAGAGAACCGTGTCACGGCGAGTCAAGCTGAAGGAGAACTCCTGCACCCTGCTAACCCGAATCGTACCTGTTTGGGCATATATTTGGAACCGTGTTCTGTATGTACCTGTAGGCCGCTGAAGGAGGGGACGAAGCACACACCGTCCGAGTCGCTGACACTGTACGCCATAGCGCTGGTCTCTTGGACGTCAGAGAACAGCTCTGCAAGAACAACGCAGAGGCGTCGTTAAGCAAAGAAACCGGTGAAATGATTGGGTTTTTACAGTGTTTAACCGCCAGCCACAGCTAGCCCTTGCACCCCCACACTCTTCCCACTACTCACCCAGTTCTTGCGCCCACTTGATGGCGGTGCCCGTGTCTGCGGCATTTCCCTCCGCCAGGTACACCAACTCTGAGCCGATCTTCCATCCCACAAGAGGGTAGAGACCTGGGTAGGGAGACGGAAGGTGTTGAACGCGCCTGTGTGGGGCCAAACCGGAGCGCACGTGAACGCGTGGTTCTCCATTCACCTGTGACGGACGTGTGTGGCTTGCTCCCAGTGTTGATGTCCATGAAGGTGCCTGTTCCCATGGTGATCTTCACATCCCCGACGTCGAAGCAGCACTCTCCAAACATGGCTGCCTGCTGGTCTGCCATCTGCAGTACAAAGAAAGTCCATCAATTTAGATTTTAAATAAAAGAACGCTCACAGTGATCCTAACCCTTCCATTCCGTGTTGTGTTTAGAGTTTAACTTTTAAAACTTATATGCGTATGGGCAAATATATTATTGAATAGTTTTTTTTTTCCTCCTCGAACATCAGGCTCAGCTGTCACAACTGCACATTCACCTGCACACCATCCACTTCCTTAATATAAACCAATCAGTTACAGTTACGTGAGGTTGGAAAAGCTCCTGGTAGGAGTAGGAGGTTAAAGAAAGACTCCCACGAAGCACAGCTGGTTGTCATTCCTGCTATGGTGCTTAGAAATAAAAACACAAAGACCTGACAGCCTCTGATAACTACTAAATAGGTCAAGCAGCTTGGAAAAGCTCCTATTTTGCCTGTGTTTCTTTACTTGTTCTTTCGGAAATTTCAGTTGTGGTGCCTTCGTGCTTGATTTTGTATTCCTCAGTTTAAATAAACAGGGCCTTCATTAAATTTAACCCTCCATTCATAGAGCGGAACACATTTCAACCTTAAAATTGAGAAAGGCTGACAGTTCCGTGAGTAAAAACGATACATTTACTTTGAATATCAAACACATACCCTTACTAATAAAATAAGGGATAGTGAGAGCTATCAGTGAGTCATTTGTGCTTTTTAATAACAGCCGTTCTCATTTAAATCAATTTATTTTCAAGACTCAATGAGTAATGTGGGCAACACACAGGATGGACAACGCTGAGATACCCACTCACCACTGACATGATGGGAATGGACACTCCGAAGACTGATGGGTCGGTGGAGCCGAAGCTGTGTCTGATGCAGCATGAAAGAGAAACCGGACATGACCCATTATAAGACACACGCTCTGTCATTACAGCAGTCTGAAAACAAACTACAGGAACAGCACTCAGAACATGATCACATCTATGCAACATTTCTGTCCCGTACAGTGGAAATTTAGACATTCCTAAGAAAATTCAGCCGGTCAGTGTTGAAATGAGATCAGTGTAATTTTCCAGTTTTCATATTGTCATAAAGACCTTCAATGTTGAGTTACAACATCTGGAAGCAGGTCCACACTTCATATTTGAGCGACCATTTTAAACAATGATATGGGAAATGAAAGCAGGGCGAGTTGACTGAGATTGTGAGGGCCTGTGGAATTAAGAGAGTTGTTTTGAACAGACATCGCTCAAGTTAAATAGTCCCTAACCCACGCACTAATCCATTGTTGGGCAAGATAAGAAAAAAATAAATGACACTACACTAACCCTAAAAGTTCCTCAGTTATAAGCTGCTTTGAATAAAACTGTCCACTAAATTAAGTGAGGGTCATGAATGGTTAAAAGAGTTACATTTATAATCTAATGTGAGTCTGTTCAAATCTACCAGGTTAATTTTGAGAAAAAGATAGTATGGAAACGAAACAGCCCTTTAAACTCTGACGTCTGAGCTCTGCACACAACTGGTTGCAACATGGGCAGAACAGACTCTTAGAGCCGAGCTACACTAAACACACCTGATCACTGTCTGTCGTGTTGGAATTTAAGGGAAAAATGTCTGAAATCTCTTTAAACCCATTTTGTCCTGCAGTTTTCAACATAAATGGGCAGACTGCTTTATAGAAAGTATTTGAATGCATTTTGCTCTGCTTTAAAAAAAGTGTTAGTTAAACACTGCCTTGAAACAGAGAGCTGCCAGAGAACACAAAAGAGGCATTTTGCTGCATAGCCAAAAATTTACTTAATTACCATTATTAGTTATTTGGCTGAATTGAAAACACTTCCATTCTTAAAATGAAGTTCAGATCACAGAGCATAGTTTTACTAGCCTTGGGAGAGACATCTCTGCGGTCTGCGTGAATGACCTTCTGGTATCAGAATAGTTATATTCAGGATAAGAAAAATGATTCAAATGTTAGTTGTGATCCCAAGGGGAATGTTGACTCACCCTGTGTTTTCTACTTTTGGGAAAATAGAGAGAGGCAGAGACACAAGAGAGCAGAGAAAGCCACTCCAACACATCTGTGAAACAAGTCACGTGACAGGGAAATAAAAGAGAAATTACACACACATACACACAGAGAAAAAAAAAAAAAAACAGAACTAAGTGGGATTAACAGACTTTCAGCAGACCTGATAAGTATCAAAGATTCCTGTTGAACTTGCGTTTGAGAAATCTGTCGCATGGACCCTTCCTGAAACAAAGGAGAAAACTAACTGTATAACACTCTCTACCAGGTGGTAAACTTTCAAATGAGGTCCAGCTCATTTTTTCCCTCAACTTCAACCTCTCCTTAGGGGTTGAGGTGAAACATTCCGTAGAAATTTCATCCATCCACTCATGCAAGAGGATTGGAGAGACAAAGAACACTCTGTCTGGGTCTTAATATCCTGTTCGACACTCTGTAAAATGCACTTCAGTGAACACAAATCGCCCAGAATTTCCAAAGGACACGTCTCAGATGGCGGTGGCTGAGCAAGACAATGGCACTCACCTTTTGTGAGCTTAAAAAGAAGCCAGGTGTCTATCGTCCCAAAGCAGCAGTTTCCTTTATCAATGGCTTGGCAAACCTGGAAAAGACAGAAAACACGATAAAAATGGGTGCTCAGGGAGGTATCGTGAACAATCTCCAAGCACAGCCTCTCCCTGTTATCATGAGATGATCCTTCAGACTGTTTGTTCCACAGCTGGTTTGTTTCGGACAAAGAAGTAAAGAACCCAGAACAGATCAACGAGCTGTTAAAAGACAACAGTCAAAACATGTTGTTCAGTGGATATAAAATGTTTATCCTTTTTCGAACAGATAAAGTAACAAAGAAGTTTACACCATACTTCAAATTAAACTTGTGTTACAAAAAAATGGACCAGACTCAGTGAATATGTCCCTAAATTAAACAATTAAACTACAATACACTACAATATACTACTATATAGACCAGTGAACAGTGCAGACCAACATGTCATTGGGCTCATCAGGTTGGAATGAAGCACATTTTACTGACAATTATCCCAGGTATTACAACGTATATATAAGGAAGGAAATGTTTGGCTTTGGTGACGATTATTAGCAGCATTATGAGCTCATTCTCAGTTTAAAAAATAATAAAATTATAATAATAATAACAATAAAATCAGGAATACAAAGATACCAATACACTATCTAATATTTTACGATAGTCCTATCAAGCTATACATACATACATACATACATACATACATACATACATACATACATACATACATACACACACACACACACACACACAC